TCAAATCCAGGGCCTCCTGCATGCTAGGCAAGTACTCTACCACTGGGCCACATCCTTGGCCCCCCATTATTATTATTTTTTAAATTATTAGTACTAATGCTTGTTTATTTCTATTTTCATTGAATTCTAATTTTTCATTGAATATGTGGGAACCACTGATTTGGAGAACCTAATGGTGGGTAGAATGGGGAGGAACATCAATATTTAGCCAAGGCTCTTGCTTCTATCAGCTTTTTTCTCCATCTTTCAATTTTTTAAAGGAAGGGAAAGGGAAAGGAAGAAAAGGGAAGGGAAGAGGAAGGAAGGGACAGAAAATAGCAGCTTTATATAGGTCTTGAAAGGCAATATAACATATTACTGAGAAAACTATATCTGGCCCCAGAACCAGAGTAGGGTGATCTCAGGTTCTCTGTCTGCATTTGTTTTCTTTTCTTTTTTCTAGAGAGAGAGAGAGAGAGAGAAAGAATTTTTTAATATTTATTTTTTAGTTTTCGGTGGACACAACATCTTTGTTTGTATGTGGTGCTGAGGATCGAACCCGGGCCGCACGCATGCCAGGAGAGCACGCTACCGCTTGAGCCACATCCCCAGCCCTGCATTTGTTTTCTAAGCAATCCAAATCAGCCCTCTTAGTACAAAGACAAAGAATGGGTTCAACTACTAGGTTTATTTACTACCTGGGTGATCATGAACAAGTCTCTGGGTGAATTTCAGTGTTTTAAGATAGGAGAAGCCAGCCATCATTTTCATTCAGTGCCTGTTTCACTAATGACATGCTTCCCCTCTGCTTCTCTACCATTTGAAATCTGTGTCATTTGTATTTATCAATTTTCCTTCTTTGTATTTGCATCGTGGTTTCAATATTTTCCACAAACCTCACCTTCAGATTTCAACTATACAACTACAATTGCTCCCTGCCCAATTTGTTTTTGTTGTTGTTTTTGTGTGTGCTAGGAATCAAATCCAGGGGTGCTTTACCACTAACCTATCCCCCCAGCCCTTTTCTATTTATTTTGAGATGGGGTCTTTTTAAGTTGCCCAGGATGGCCTCAAACTTGTGATTCTCTTGCCTTAGCCTCCCGAATTGTGGGGATCATAGGCATGAGCAACTGCAAACTGCTGTCTTCTTGCTTTTTTACCTTTATCATTTACTGATTGTTCTCTAATTGCGCAGCTATAGCAGGTGTTCTGTTAACTAAATTATGATCCCTTCCAGCAACACATCATTCAAAAAAATCTACTGTGACCTAACATGCACTGTTCTAGGAACTTGAAGTAAAAAGGTAGAAAACAAACAAACAAACAAAAAACCTGTCTTGGTGGAGATTACATTCCAGGGCAACAGAGGATATGATATCTAGGAAAAATCAGTTCCTACTCAATATAGATAAATGAAAACATGACAATCAATCCAGAATCAAAAAGAAGTTTGCTTGTAAAGTAGAAATTCTAGTGGGAAGGGAAGCAGGGGATAAGCCATTCCATCTAGAACAGGGCAGAGCAAGAACCGACTGACTGGGAGAATAGTTTGGGACAGGCAAGGTAGAAGGAGAAAATCCAAGAAACATGAATATGTAAATAAGTACATCAGAAGTGCTTAAGGAAAAAAGAAAAGAAGAGAAACTAAGAGCAAGCATGGATTGCAATTTTAAAGATCAAATATTTGAGCTAACAGGGAGGTATGCATTGACCTATAGTTTAAGTCATTTTAACTCTTGCCAACTAACCCTCCTTTCCTGTAAACACATCCACACACTTACATAAAACCTCTTTAAAATAGGAACAAAAAGAGAAAATCTATAAATGCACAAATATATTTAGAAAAGAATTCCAAACCATACTGAACTAAATCAAGTTGAAGTACAAAGTAACTTTGTTTTTGGAATCTGTCCTTACCAATGCATAATAACAAAGCTTACTCTAGCAGCCGGATGAACTTTAGCCTACATCTGCTGTGCCAGTAAAAGAGAAACCTTTGTCCTACTTTTTAGTCATCTTTATATGTAACTCAAGTGAATATATAAAGATCACGTGAGCTACAATCAGTGGAGACAGCTGAATTGTACTGACACAAATTTCGAATTTGAAAATGTTATTCTCCTTTTAACAACAGCTTTCCTCAAAATTCAACCTTGAGAGAAGAAATGGGATTAAGAAAGTGAGTCTCGAATTAAAAAACACTACATCACATTTCTCTCTAATTGAGAACCTCTGAAACTTATTACTGACATAATTAGGAATTTAGATTGAGAAGGAGTAGGAATTAGAAACATGGTCAAGATGTGATTTTCATTTCATAGTTATAGTCAGAATTCTAGCACTTGTAGAGCACGAGTGCACTAAAACTTCAAGAATTACAAGTCAGTTCCAAGAGAGTTCAATCATTTCCCAGCAAATGTTATAGTCTCATAAAAAGTCTCTGTAATGCAGGGGCTGTGACTCAGTAATAGAGCACTCGCCTGGCACAAGTGAGGCACTGGGTTTGATCCTCAGTGCCACATAAAAATAAAATAAAGGTATTATGTCCACCTACAACTAAAAAAATATGTATTTTTTAAAAAAGTCTGTACAATGCATTGGCACACACATTCAAGGTAAAGGAACAATCATCTGTTGTCTAAAAATGGTAATCCAGGTGTATAGGTAATTTTAAATTCACTTTGTAGATATTTTTCCAAAATTTATAAATTGCTATCGAAAAAAGCAGTAACTGGGCTGGGATTGTGGCTCAGGGGTAGAGCACTTGCCTCACATGTGCGAGACCTTGGGTTCGATCCTCAGCACCACATCAAAATAAATAAGTGAAATAAAGGTATTGTGTTCAACTACAACTAAAAATAAATATTAAAAACAAAAAAGAAAAAAGCAGTAACTATCACGAAACATATTTTCTTATTGGTGGAAACAATGCAAAATATATGCACATAAATTTCTATAGAGAAAATATAGAAAGATTAAGCTGTTTTTTATCACACATGTTAAATGCAATAAATTGAGGATTCTTGGATGTACAGAATTATAGTTCTCCAGGGTTGAAAACAGTTATTAATAGTGAACATTTACTGAGCATTTACTTCAAGATAAACTGCTTTATACCTTCATAACCTCACAAAGTAGAACTATTCTCCCATTTTAAAAATGAGAAAAGATATAGAAATTAATTGTACAAGGTCACCCCAAGGTAAAGTGACAGTTTCAAACCCAGAAGTCAGACCACATGTTTAATGCTTTTAATTGTTCTGTCACTCTACTTCTCAATGCTAAAGAAAGTTTACAGTCTCAATCATTCATTTGACAGATAAGAAAATAAAGCTCACTTTGATTAAGGTTATTTGTCCAAAGTAACACAACTAGTGATCGGAAACCATGTGGCCTGACTACTACATTAGTGCCAATCTATAAGAAATGCCTTACAAATTTTGCAGGAGCAAATTCAAAAATATGATTTTTCAAAAGTGTTAAATGACATATGTGGAAAATAAGGAAAAATATGAAGTGAAAATGCAATCAAATGCTAACGGGAGGAATGTGAGTAGTAAGACAACAGATGATTCCTTTTTCTTAATCTCTTTCTCTAGTCTTTACAGCATTTCATTTTTTTGTAATGTAGTGATATTATGATTGGTATGATTGGTATGATAAGTATCCTATGGAGATTAAAAATAGGCTGAAAAAATAAAGAAGAAAAAGATTCAATCATTTAATTAATCCCTTGCAGTTAAGGGAGACTCCAGCTACCTGTCTTAAAAAACAAAAACACTACCCACTGGTTCAGCAGGAAGGAGAGAATTCATATTACAAATTAAAGCAAAAGTTCATAATTAAGTAAGTGGTATTAAGTGAAACATGCAGTGAAGTCATGTTGGACCTCACAGATTTGGAACAGAAGAAAAATGACAGGTTTTCTAGAGCTACCCTCTTTGAAAGATTTACTGCTGATTTTCAGGAGGAAAAAAGATAATATACTTAATACAGCAGAAACGAAATTAGATATAGTTCTTAAAATTATGTAAAGTTTTATTTATTAGGACTCAAGTTATTTGCATATGCTTAAAATGTGTCAAGGTGCAAAACCTCGCGTTTCCACATACTGCGTGTTCACACAGGAATTATTGAAACTTCAAGAGTTCAGCTACCCATTTAAGTACAAAAATGGTTCTTAGGAAGGAGCAGGGAATGGCAGGGATCTCCAAGGCTGGCCAGTTTCATCCGAGAAGCTTGTAAGACACCTCTTGTTGCAAGCCAAGGTGCTGTGAGGCCTCAACGATGAGACAGACTGGGTCCTGATCCTCCAGATCTGTGTCAGGCCCAGGCCAACAATAAATAAAAACAAGAAGGGCGTGAGCCCAGTAGTGCTACTCGGGAGACCTGCGGAAAGAGCCAGAGTGGGTGGAAAGGGCTCAGAAATGCTGGGAGTTACGGAGCCTGAAATCGCTGCAGGACTTGGGAGCTGTGAGAGTTAGTGACAGTCCCTTCTCAAGGACACAGGAAAAGGGGTTCCAGGACAGTATGCCCAGGCAGAAGGGGTCACTCGGCGGGAGTGGACAGGCGGCAGCGAGGGACAGGCGCAGCTCTTAGCCGCTCCAGTTCCTGCAGGAGTTCTATCCGAGATTCCCAGGTGCCCTCAGCCAGGTCTCACCTCGGGAGCGGAGGATCCTGAAGGCGTTGAAGCGGTTGAGGCTGCCAATTGCTCGGGAGGCCACCATCTTGAACAGGAGAGGACGAAAGTAGAGAGCGCTTCTATCTCCAGCGGCAAGAGCAGACCACTTTTTCCTACAGTCTAACTGGCCAGGCGCCCGACGTACTGCCTGACTAAAACCCGGGCGCTGAGTTGCTACCAGCCCCTTAACACTGCCCTTCCCTCCCGGCTCACAGGGCCAAAAGGGATGCTTTCTCTGCCCAAGGACGAAGGTCCTAGGAAGAGGGGGCGGAGCGCCGGGTTTTTTAGTCAGGCGGCTGGCGGGCAGTCCGCAAGGTCGGCAACTCTTGCTGGCGGGGGTGAGGGGTCCTTTCTAAGACGGGTCTACGCCTCGGTCCCTCTAGGTCTTGGCACTCGGGACTGAACCTCGGCGGGAGTGAGATCCCGCACGGAAGCGGACTGAGGTGAGACTGTGCACTGCACCGGATATTCGGCCTGTTTGGCTTTTTATTTTTCCTGTCGCCCCCAAGCAGATCCCACTTCTTTGCTTGCGGGAACAGAGAACACTCGCTGCGCCAGTGTCCGCGGCCCCTTCTCCTCCCTGGAAGAGTAGAAAATGGACAAGCCGGAGAGAGGTCTTCCGACCGGGCCGACAGTGCGCAGCGCATAGGCAGTGACTGGGAATCGCGTTATAGCAGTAGCTCGGAGCGGCACTGTCACCGGTCTTAATTTATCACCGCAGGTTAACTAACTGCATGAGTGTGTGCCTAAAACGCTGGGCTGCGTTTGAGTGTTTGTTGTTGTTTCACTTCTTTACTTGTAGCCAAGTTAGAGGCTGTTGAGATTCAGAACGGCGCCATGGGTTTACCCTGATGTCTGCTCTTACGGGGGGGACTGGCCGTCCTGCTTGGTGACCCAGTGCTCAGGGGCACTTTCTAATCTTGAAGGGACCTGGCGATCATCTGGTCACTCATCCCCCTTCTCCCCCCACCCCCATCCCGAACTTTACTGGTGAAGAAACAAACCCGGACCAATCAGAGTGGGTTCGTCCATGGCCACAGGTGGTAGAAACAGGACTAGAGCCTAAGTCTACATTTAATTAAGAACTCTGCATTGCACGATAGCTGTTTTGTGTTGAAAGATGGGCTCCGGTCCTAGAATAAAATGACCTTTTTTTTTTTTTTTAACATAATACTGAGGATCTATCTTGCTCCAGGCACTATTTTATTTAATCCTCATAATCCCAAAATTATTTTCATTTTCTAGTTGAAAATGAAATTATGCAAACTTTCTGGTCTTTGGCAAAGCCAGGATTTAGACATAAAAAGGAGGCTTAGATTATGCAAACTTTCTGGTCTTTGGCAAAGCCAGGATTTAGACATAAAAAGTTGAACTTCACTACTCACCAGATTGACTCTTATACAAGAAAGGAAACAAATGGCAGGCAAGTTGAGACTTAAATGAGATGTATGGAAAGAAAGGAGAGCCTTTTCTGTTTTAAAGCTCGGAGTCCTCCATCACTGGGTGCATTTTAAGCAGAAACTGGTAACCACTTCTCATAAATTGCAAAAAGGATTCTTTTTTTTTTGCGGGCGGTGGGGGAGGGCGGATACCAGGGATTGAACTCAGGGGCACTCGGCCACTGACCCACATTCCCAGCCCCTTTTTCTCTTTTTGTATTGTATTTAGAAACGGGGGGAGCCCTGTAGCTCAGCGATAGAGCACTTGCCTCGCCTGTGTGAGGCACCACATAAATAAATAAAATAAAGGTATTGTGTCCATTTACAACTGAAATAAAGTTTAAAAAAAAGAAAGAAAGAAAGAAACAGGGTCTCACAGAGTTGCTTAGCGCTTCTCTGAACTCGTGATCCTCCTGTCTCAGCCTACCGAGCCGCTGGGATTACAGGACCCTGGCACAAAAAGTATTCTTTATGCCAAAAGATAATTTCCAGTTCTGAGCCTGCCTTGTGCCCACATAGTACTCTGTTATGAACCTTATTGCATGCAGGGCCTATTTAGATCAGGGGTTGCAAACCTTTTTTTGGAAGGGCTAAACAATAAGTAGTTTGGGTTTTGTGAGTCCACTTTGGTCTCTGCTATATATTTTTTGTTTTGTTTACAGCTCTTTAAAAATGTAAAAACTGGAGCTAAGGGTGTAGCTCAGTGGTAGGGGAGGCCCCGGATTTCCACACTCCTGAGCAGCAAAAAAAAAAAAAAGAAAAGAAAAAAATAATACCTCTTTATTCCTTCCATATAGAGATTCAGGTTTATGGATTTTTTTTTTTTTTTTTTTTTCTGGCACAAAATGGAGTCTCACTCTACATTTGTTCTGCAGCTTTCTTTTTTTAATGTGTGTGTGTTGCTGGGGATTGAACCCAAGGCCTTGTGCATGCAAGGCAAGTAGTCTACCAACTGAGCTATATCCCCAGCCCCATGAAGCTTTCTTTTTCATTTAATATATGTTATGGACATCTTTCCAACATATACATAATGTATATGTATGTTTCATTTTTCTTTCCAACCACCTTACAGTATCTCAAGTTAAGCTTATGATAATTTAAATATTTCCTATTGATGTGCATTAGATTAGTTCCAGTTTTTCACAAATGTAAGCAGTGCTACAGTGAACATCTTGAGTATTCCTATAAGCTTGAGACCTATGTGTGGAACACATGCATTTTGAATATTTCCAGAGGTTAGAGACGAATAAGAGTTGTTTTTGAACTCGGAAATTTACAGTTTTAATTTTGACAAATAGCTATAAAATTGCCTTCCAAAAAGGTCTTAGCAGTTTATACTTCTGTCAAATAAAATAAGAAAGTGGTTAGAACTATTCTTACCAGAATTTTGTATTAACCATATATTTAATACTTGCCAATCTGATAAATCTGAAATGATACCTTGCTTTAATTTTTTTTTAAAGATTTTATTGTTAGTGAGAGGGAACTGTTTTTATTTTATTTGCTTTACCTTTCTTTTTTGGGGGGTCCTGAGAATCAAAACCAGGACCTCACAACACACGCCAGGCGAATACAACTCCCAGCCCTTGATATTTTAATTTCTTCTGAGTTGCTCATTTGCTCCTTTTTGCTTTTGATCTGTGCATTAGGAAGGGATCTTTCAGAAAATTTAAGTCAACTTGATTAAAGGGGTTTTTATTGGCTTACAGAACTAAAAACACAATAGAGGAAGGTTTCAGATAGGATCCGACCAGGGTTCCAAGTTTTTTTCCTTCAAATTCTTAGCTCTATTCTTTGTGGAGTTAGCTCTTTCCTAGGCTAGTATTGTTCGTGTTTTCATAGTACTGTAGCTATTTGAAACATCAAAAGGAAAGATTTATGTTCTAGAATTCCAGGGGGAAGACTTAATGTTAGCCTGATTAAACCGTCCGCTATCAATACCAGTGGCCAAGGCAATATCATGCACAGTTTTAGACCTTAGTTACCTGAACCATTGGTCGGGGTATAGAGAATGAGATTGTACTGATGGGTTAAATCCTGAAGTTGGACTGAATTCAATCCCACGTAAAGCAAATATAGCAACTATGTAATGGGGTAAAAGGCATACTGGAGTTAAAAACTACATATTCCATTATAGATTTTGTTTTCCTATAATTTGAAACAAGTTCTTTGTGAATTATGAATATTAATCCTTTCTGTTGTACATATTACAAATATTTTCTCTGAATCTATTGTTTGCCTTTTAACTTGAGTTTAGTATCTTTTGCTATGTATGTATTTTAAATGTTTATATAATCAGATCTATTAATTATTGTTTTCCATTATGGCTTCTGGGTTTTGTGCAAGAGATTGGAATCCCTTTCCTATCTAAGATTATCTACTGGTGTTTTTTCCCGGCACTTTTATAGTTGCAAAAATATATTTAAATCTTTAATCCATCTTGCATTCTTTTGTACTTATTATTTATTTATTTATTTATTTGTGTGTGTGTGTGTGTGTGTGTGTGTGGTGCTGGGGATTGAACCCAGGGCCTTGTGCATGCGAGGCAAGCACTTTACCAACTGAGCTATATCTCCAGCCCTGTACTAATTTTTTTTAATATTTATTTTATTAGTTGTAGTTGGACACAATCCCTTTATTATTTATTTATTTTAATGTGGTGCTGAGGATCGAACCCAGGGCCTTACACGTGCTAGCCGAACACTCTACCGCTGAGCCACAACCCCAGCCCCTTTTGTACTTATGATGTGAGCTATGAATACAATTTTTTCCCAAATGGTTAGCCATTTTCCCTACAATTTTTTTGGATAATTCATTTTTCTTCTATTTAGTTGAAATGCTGTATTTGGATACTAAATTCTCTTATACATGGGTATGCTTCTAAACTTGCTACATCCTGTTCTGTTGATAGTTTCATTCATTCCTGTGCTAGAACTTGTTCTATTTTCATTACTAGTGCTTTATAAAAAGTTTTGACATCTCTTAAAGCAAGGTTCCCCCTTTTGTTTTTAATACTTCTTGGATTATTTTCATGGATTTTATTTCAAAATGGGCCTACTTAAGGGAATTTATCCCAGGCTCTATGGTATTGTAAGTAGCTTCTAGAAATGAAGGTAGTCATCTCATGGCCTCTTTTGAGTTTCCATGGCCAGAATCCGTGGAATATTCTCTAGGCTGGTGAGCCTAGCTAGAGCTTGGACTCCTCCATCTTTTTCCAGTCCATATGTTTGGAACATGTGATTTTTTTTTTTTTTTCTTTTTGAAAGCCGTAAGGCATATGCCTTTTAAACCTTAAGGTTTTTATATTATCTGTTGTTAAGTATCAAAGTACTACCACGTTTAACAGTTTAAAACAATATTTGTTCTCATACAATTTCTTCAAGTCAAGAATATGGAGTGACTTAGCTGGGTTGTTCTGACTAACGAGTTTCTTTTTTTTTTAACTTTTTTCTTTTGAGAGAGAGAGAGAGAGAATTTTTTAAAATATTTATTCTTTTTTTAGTTTTTGGTGGACACAACATCTTTGTTTGTATGTGGTGCTGAGGATCGAATCCGGGCCGCACGCATGCCAGGCAAGCGTGCTACCGCTTGAGCCACATCCCCAGCTCCCTAACAGGTTTCTTATGAGATGCTATCAGCATGTTGGCTAGAGCTGTAGTCATCTGAAAGCTTGCCTGCGCTAGAGTACTGACTTCCAAGCTTACTCATGTGGCTGTTGGCAGGAGGTATCAGTTTTTCCAATATGTAAGCCTCCTCATAAGGCTGCTTGTGATGTGCCATCTGACTTCCCCCAGAATGATCTGAGAGAAAGACTTAAGACTGAAGCTGCAGTATTTCCTATAGCCTAATATCAGGAGAGACATACCATCACTTCTGACATATTCTTTTGTTTAAACAAACCAACTGCAGTGTAGCATGGGAGGCAACCAACCATACAAGGGTATGAGTACTAAAAGGGAAAGTTTATTGGAGTTCAGCTTGGAGGTTGGCTACCATAACCTTCATTGACAAATCCCATGAGTTCTTCTCATTTTTTTAAAAATTAAAACATGTTTCAAAATTAAGAAATTATAAAAAATATCCAATGACAAGTGTTCCTTCCACTTAAGTTCCCCTTCCTTCCTGCTAAAAATTATTTTTAATATTTTCTTTGTACTTCCAAGGATGTTTTATATTGATAGAAGGAAATTACATACTATTTTTTTCTTTTTTAACATGATTGATAACATGTGATACACACTATTTTGTATCCTGTTTTCTTCACTTAATAATATAGCTTAGAAATGGTTCTGTGCGCTGGGTGCGCACCTGTAATCCCAGCATCCGTGTAATCCCAGCATCCGGGGAGGCTGAGGCAGAAGGATCACAAGTTCAAAACCAGCTTCAGCAACTCAGCGAGGCCCTAAGCAACTTACTGATATCCTGTCTCTAAATAAAATATAAAAAGAGGCAGGGATGTGGTTCAGTGGTTAGGCGCCCCTGGATTCAATTCCTGGTACCAAAAAAAGAAATGGTTCTGTGTTGGTACATAATAATTTATCTCTTACAGGTGCATAATATAGGGTTGTAGCATGATTTACTTATCTAGTGCCCTTTTTGTTGGTTATTCTAATCTTGCTATTATGGTGGCAACATAAGTCATGAATATAATGTCCAATAAGGTAAATTCATGGTAGTGGAATTGCCGAATTAAAAGTCAGATGTGGGGCTGGGGTTGTGGCTCAGCGGTAGAGCACTCGCCTAGCGTCTGTGAGGCCCTCGATTCGATCCTCAGCACCACATAAAAATAAATAAATAAATAAAATAAAATAAAGGTATTGTGTCCAATTACAACTAAAAAAATAAATATATTTTTTAAAAATTTTGGGAGTAAATAAAACATTAAAACTTTTTTAGCGTTGGCAAGTAATTACCAAATTGTCCTGCCTAGGAATTGCACAGTTAACACCTTGGTGGCGGCATATGAGTGTGTGTTTATTCATACTCTTATCCACACAGTATATGTCAAGACTTTTTGATTCTTCACTGATTTTATAGATAATTAAATCTGTGTGATTTTAATTTTAATTTCTCTTATAAGTAGAACTGAAGATGTTTTCATATATTGAAGAGCCATTTATATTTCCTTTTCTCTTAACAGTGTGTTCATATCCTGTATCCATTTGCTGTTTTTTTTTTTTTTTTTTCCCCATTTGTTTTGTAGGAACAAATGGGAAATTTAACATTTTGGGACCTGATATATTTTAAATATTTTTACTATATAGGCTTTTTGTATGTTTTTTAGCTTTATAATTATTTTGGAATAGTACCAACTTTTGAAGAAAAAAGTAGCAAGTACATAACTTCAAAATTTTTTTCTAATAGCAATTGAGAGTAAGCTCCTAATGTGATGCTTCCCCATCTCTGAAAACTTTAGTGTGTAAACCCCTAAAATACAGATATTCCATAAAGCCTTCTATATAATCACAACACAGCCTTCAAAGGCAGGGGATTAACACTATTGTTTTCATGGTCCTGTCCAGCAGTCTGTTTCTTTGGCCTGAAAGAGAAAAAGCACAAACCTGGAGCTAGACTGCCTGGGTTCAAATCCAAGCTATTCTACTTACTAGCTGTGGGTCTTTGGGCAAGTCACTGAATCCCTCTATGTCTCTGTTCCCTCGTCTCACAAAAAGCTATAATAATCATGCCTGATTCTTAGGTCATTGTGAGAATTCTATGGTTAGTGCTTATAATAGTGTGAAAACTATAACAATACAGCTATTATAATGTCATTATTAGAAAAAAGATAGACTAGTTTTATATTAGCTATGGTTATCAGAGATTATAGACCACAAATTGCTCAAATAACCTAGGATATACTTTGTTCTTTTCTTTTTTAGGTTTCAAAATGACTTCCATCTTGACTTCCACTTTAAAAAACCTTCCCAATACATCAAAATGGGCCCTCAGATTTTGTAAGTATGATTTTTCAATTTTAAGATTAGATTTGGATTTATGAGCACTTTACACAGACATTGAAAGGTATTGCTTTTTGTAAATAATTTATTTTGTCTTTCAGCTGTAAGACCTCTGAGCTGTTCCTCCCAGCTATTAGCTGCCTCAGGTACAGTAATTTAAAAAACAAACATTTCTTATTTAAGTGTTAGATTCTATATTTGTGAATTTTAAGTAAAAACCAAAACTAATTTGCTAGTTCTCTTTTTGTAAGCAACATGAACATCACTATTACCTTCAAATTCAAAACATTATGGGTTAGGCTGGGGATGTGGCTCAGTGGTAGAGCATTTGCTTAGTATGTGTAATACCCTGGGTTCAATTCACACCACTGCAAACAAAACTTATAGGGCTTGAAGATAGGAGATAGCTTTTTGTGTTTTGAAGCTCACTGGATTCATGAAATTTCCATAAACTTGTTGGTCGGTTTTTTTACCCTGTGACTATCAGTCCTGGAGATGATTAGTTTACAAGTAGCCTTGAGACCATTATGGAGCTAAAAGTTGACTTTTAAAATTTGCAGTTAGTGATAGGCTTCTCTATTGAATATCTTCTTACCCCATATATAAGGTATTATTGATATAGAGGGGAACTAGTTAATAAAAGAAAATTGTTTAGCTAACATGAAATAAAAGTAAGGAAATTTATTGATTTGATATGGTCATTTAGACCCTCAGTAAAACCAGTGAATTAGGCTTCTTCATGGTTGAATATACGCTTCTGCAGAATTTGCTTTACGTATATATCTTCACTGGTCACTGCCAAAAATACCCTGACAAATTCTTAGCATTTTTCTCCTTGCCTATTTTTTTTTGTATTGACCTATACCTCTCATTTTGGTTATATGTTGGTCTTTCTACTTACATAAGAATAGAAAAAGTACCTTCCAAGATTCAGAAGACTTGTACTGTGTTCTAGCTATACCTTCTGGGCAGTGTGGCCTTGAATTGGTCACCTTGCTTCCCTGTGCTTTAGTTTCTTCCTCTAAACAAGAAATAATTTTAGTTTTGACAACGTTATATAGCTATGAAGATATCTCAAAGCCCTTTAAAAACTCTATAAACTCAAGTTCAAGATGGTATTGTTATATTCTCAGAGATCTGTGCCTAATCACAATTAGAGAAGTTTCATGTTGTCATGTAACAAGTAGATTTTCTATGACTTCTAAATTCTAACTAGAGTGTAGATTTTTGTTAGCTCCACAAAGAATAATTTCTTTCTGTCTCATTTCACCTTTCCCCTAATTCAAATGTGCACTAGGCCTTTGCTGTGCACATTCACACAAATAGACCTAATCTTGCTGAGTGGGAGAAGGTCATTCTGAATGTCTACAAAGAAGGCATTTATGTGGCATTGAGACTGTTCTTCATGTTGCTCTGTAACTATTTTGTTATATTTTGTCTGCCCAACTACATTGTGAAACTCTTGTGAGACGAGCTTTTCTGTGTCCTCAGTATCTAACATGGTGTCCTATAAGTGGTTTGTATTAACACTGATGATGATAATGGTGCAATAAGGCACCTAATAAAACAAAGAAATGTGACCAGATGATTTGAGGGCAGGGAGTGGCGTGTGCTAGTGCTGAGCAGGTTTTAGGTTGCAGTAACTTTGTTACTAATATTTCCTCTTCCCACTCATGTGAATGTCCCTGCTTGACTGGGCTGTTAGGATGAAGGAATTAGAAGAAAGGAGTATAGGATTCATTGATGATGTTTTCTGGTGAACTATGTGTTCCAGGAAATTTTGACTACTTGCTATCATGACACACTACTAAACCAGTCAGGGTCACTCCAGGTGAACTGGGCTGGTACGAAATAATCACACAAAGAGAAATACCTTTTTCTTTGGCTTCTGTGATGGCTTCTCTGACTCAGCCCCCACAAAGGAGGCAAGGCAGGCAAGAAAGAGAGCGAGGAGCATGTTCTGAACCCTTTTATTGGGGAAAAGCTGTTCAAATGAGGCAAGGGGTCAGGTTTCAGGGGGTTGAGTCTAGCTTTGTGATGTCTTGCTGTCAGCAGGTTGACATCTTGGAAGGCTATGCCCTTCCCATGTGCTGTGTGGGGATCATAGACAGAACAAGTGAAAAGGACACATACAGCCCAAATGGGAGGCAACGTCCAGTCCACTTTGTGTGCTCAGTGCTCATAGTTCACTCACATACAGCCTATGGTTGGCTCACCACATACATAGCTCCTGACCAGAATGGCTCATGACACTTTGCTGGTTATATATACCTATGTTTACATCTCTCTCTAAATATATACATATGGAAATACAGCAGCTATATAATTCTTGATGCATCTTTATCTTCTTTGATTTTAATTGTACGTGAAGAATATAAGATATGAATCAGACAGTCATTGAATCCTAGAATTTGAAGTCATCGAGTCCTTCCTCATTTTCAAATAAGAAATTGTTGTCAGAACTCTTAATTCAGATTCTTATGATTCATTTCTACTGTATGCCCTTAGCACAGTGGAATACATATAAAGGAGCTGATTTATTGCCCTTGAGAAAATTTTGATGTGCCTAAGAGCCAGTGTGCACATGAAAAACAAATGAGAATCCTCTGGGAGACATATTTATTATGTTCAATACATAATGAATAACAAATGTTTTTAAAATATGGTTTATAGAATTAGTTTAATTTACTTTTTAATAAGCTGAATTGTTTCATAGGCAATTTTTGCCCTAGTGGTATCCATAGAAGTTCAGAGGCAGTGACTACAGGTAATCACAGTTATCAGGAAAGTTTTACTAGGAGGTAGAATGTGAAGTAACCTGAGAGACCTGAAAAAATTGGATGAAATGGGACCATATAGATGGAAAGGTCCCTGAATAGAGGTAAGGAGGTTGGGGCAAAAAAAAAAAAAGATTATATACCCCAAAAACGTAAAAAAACAACAAACACACAAAAAAAAAAAAAGGTAAGGAGGTTGAAGTAAGCAAAACTGTAAGGGACTGGGAACTTGCTCGACTTTTTATATTTTGAAGAGTCGTGGAAAATACTTTCAGATTATTAAGGAGGAACCAAGTAAAGTATGAAATTCATTAGAGGAATGAAGAATTAAAATTTTATCCGAAAATGTATAAAAAGAGTACGTGTTCAGTTCTTGAAAAGCACAGTGATCATATATCATCTGTCTTTTCATCACATTATTCTTTCTAAGGTCAGTCATAAGTAATCTGCAAATTTAGTGGCCTGTTTTCAGTCCTCATTTGCCTTGAGGATTGAAACATCAACCTGTCTCATTCTCCTTGCCTTCCCTGCTCTTACACACCATCTGTCTGGCTCTCTGGAGCATGCACCTCACTCCCCACCACCGTGTGCCGCAGTCTGGCTGGGCACAAAATAACAAGCTGCCACACAGCCTTGTAGGTTCAAAACAGGAACTCCTTTATTCTCCGCACTCCTGCGTACGCCTCGCATGAGGCCTTCTCTCCGGACACACCACACACCAACCAGAAAATCCCTCGTCCGGCACTTCCCCAGCCAATGCGAACTCTTCAGGAATCCCTGCGAGAGCTCAACCAGAACTCAACGGGAACTCCGCGAGAACTCAAAAGTCACTATCTTAATGGCTCGCTGGCGTCACCTCTCAACCACTACTTCTGGCAAAAATGCCATGCGTCATCCCGACTCGGCTGTGGCCTTCAACAACCGTTGTCTTTGATTCTCAAACTGCCTCCCAAGGTTACTTGCTGTCTCTCAACTCTGCTCTTCCAGTGTAGAGAAAGCACGTAGCCGAGTATCTTTTTCTTGTGGGCAGTGGACCCCCAAGTTAAGGATGAAAGGGTTCTTATATACTTTACTGGGAAAATGTTAGGAACAAAGAAAACAGCTGTGGGAACAGCTGCTTTTCTCATGTACCATCTGGTATGCCCCTCTCCTGTCCTTTCTGCTTCTTTTTGTGTGCCTTCACTATTCTGTTGTCTTTGATTACTCATTGTTTTTGCTGTCCCATAACACTGACTAACAAATGACTTCAGTTTACCATTACCCTGGTTCTTTATCTTGGCATCTTTTTGGCTTCCACTAATGGGCATTTCTTCCCATGCTTCTTCACTTAGATTTCTGAGACAGAGAACCTGGCCAGTGCAGTTTATCACTTGTAGGAGATGACATAGGTAGTGGCTGTGGTTTGGATGTGGTTTGAGTACATCCCCCAAAGGCTCATGTGTTGGAAGCTTGGTTCCATTGTGTTGATGTTGAAAGGTGGTGGAACCTTTAAGAGGTGGCACCCAGGAGAAGGTAATGAGGTCATTGAGGGTATCAGCCTTAGAAAAAATTAATACAGTTCTTTTAGGACCCTGGTTGGTTCCCTCAAGAGTGGGTTGTTGTAATGTGAGGCCACACCATGTGCTTAGCCGCTTTGGCACATGACCATTTCCTTTCCTGCTTCTTTGCCTTATGGTGATGCATCCAGAGGGACCCTTTACCAGGACACTAGCACCATGTAATTTTAACTGTACAGACACCAAATAATCTTCTTTACTAAGTACTGAGCTTAGGTATTCTGTCAGAGCAACTCAAAATGGGCTAACACACTGGTCAGCCACTCTGTAGATTGATTGTTGGTAGGTCTGATCTACCCACATTGAATCTGATTGGCTTTTGCTGTGGACTTAGAGACATAACCACTTATGGCAGCACCTTTGGCAGGGACTATAAACAAGACAGCTCCCTGTAGAGGGGACTGTGAAATGGCAAGTATGTCTTGACTCTGTGATGCTTTCTAAGCTTCATATATCTTTTAACTTTCTGTGTGGCACTCCAGAGTTTAGTTTTTCATCTTGATCTACAGGCCAAATGGACATACCTACCTGATTGTTTCTCCGTCACATCAGATTTTAAAATGAAGTCATCTTTCTTCCAAAACCAGTTCTTATTTTGTATAGGGTTGCTTAGTCTCCATAAGCTTCCTTTATAATCTTGTTTTCAGTTTTCTTTTCTTCTACATTTGGTTGTCCTCTAGTCTTCCTTTATAAAATCTCTTGTATTGGTCCCTTCCTTTATGTTCACATTGATCCTGCCTTTACCATGCCATCAGCATCACATGCTTGGGTCTGCCAATTTCCTTGCTTTCCTCCTTGTTGCCTTTATCTCCTTTACCACTGCATCTCCATAGAGCTACCAGGATAATCTTCAGACCCTTTTTGTCATTACTCTTAGCTCTCACTACTGTTTCTTTCAAGTCAACCATAGATACTTATCATAAGTATTTCCTGTGACATCAATGAGTGTGGTAATAATGTAGGATTTCTTTTCCCTCACTGTTAATGGAGTGATAAACAGGTGAATTTTAACATTAACAATAACATGAAGATGTGGAAAGGTCTTCAAATTCTGTTGTTAAGTCAGAAAAATATATGTAACACAAGTTATGCATGTGGATGTATTCAAAAGGATTTGAAAGTTCATACACCAAATTAACAGTATTTACCTCTGGAAAGGAAATTTTATTAATGAGGGAATTTTAGTTTTTACTCTTCAAGTTTAGTATTATTTACTTTTTACAAAATGATGTGCATATGTTTACATTTTATTCTTTAATTAACTAATTTTTGTGGTGCTGGTGATCAAACCCAGGGCCTCACATATGCTAGGCAAGCATGTTACCATTGAGCTATGTTCCCAGCCTCTTAGTGAGACCCTGTCTCAAACGGCTTGCCTCAAACTTGTGATCCTCCTACCTCAGCCTCCTCAGTTGCTGAGATTACAGGCATGTCACTGTACCCAGCAGGAATGTTACTTTTTTGAGTTAAATAGAGTTAGCCAAATTGAGTCAAACAGAGTTGAAGTATTATAGGTTTTTGCAGAGTAGTAATGCACATCACAAGTGGCCTTATTTCTACATAGAAAGTCAAGAATATCAAACTATGTGAAGAGTGAACAGTATCAAACAATTGTGACTTCTGATGTCAAGTTTATGTATAAAATTGGTTATTTTGGGGGCCGGGCTTGTGGCTCAGCAGGTAGAGTGCTCGCCTAGGCACTGGGTTCGATCCTCAGCACCACATAAATGTCAATTAAAGATATTGTGTCCACCTAAAAAACATAAAAAATAAATATTAAAAAATTGATTATTTTTAATGTAATAGGTTGTCAAACACAATAAAATGAAAATTTTGTTAATTACATAAATACCTTCATCATTGTGGCTAATCTTTGTTTACCTTTAGTATTATTTAGAGTCATGCATGTGAACTGTGTTCCCAGCCTCCTCTTTGCAAGACCAGCTGAGGCAGGAGGATTCAAGATAAGCCTCAGCAACTTAGTGAGACCTTGTCTCAAAATCAAAAATAAAAGGGCTAGGGATATAGCTCGTGGTGAAAGGACTTTTGGGTTTAATTCCCAGTACCCACCCCCGCAATATATATGTATATATATACACATATACATATATGTACGTATGTGTGTGTGTGCGTGTATATGTGTGTGTGTGTATATATATATATATATATATATTTGTATAAGTGGTTTAGTAAATAACAATGTAATTTAACATTGAATGATATAATTCTTCTTAGAAATGACTGTCTTCAATAATGTAGAAAGTTGGGCTCGGGTTGTGGCTTAGTGGTAGAGTACTTGCCTAGCATGTGTGAGGCACTGGGTTCAATCCTCAGCACCACATTAAAAAAATGATAATAAAATAAATTTTAAAATGTAGAAAGTTATCTGATTTCATATATTTTTATTAATAATTCTCTGATCCTTATCTTAAAGCTGCCCAGCCCAAATCAAAGAAGACCTTAGCCAAACCCAATATGAGGAATATCGTGGTGGTAGATGGTGTTCGCATTCCTTTTTTGCTGTCAGGCACTTCGTAAGTATGAAATTATCATGTTATTTCTTCCTTCTTTTATGCTACTGACTAAAGTGGTCTTAGTAAATGTAACCTAGTAGGTAATAAAATTGTTAATGGACTAATGTATAGATAGCAACTCCAGGAATAAATATAGAATAAGTTAAGCTAGTGGTGAAATAATATGGCAGAATGTTTTTTTATCCTTTCTCATAAAACAGACCTATCAGATTGAATAAGCCATGCTTTGAAAGCCCAATGTAGATCCAGACACCTTGCTTCCAAGAGCTATCCTTTTCTTTTCTGGAGACAGTATATTACTTAAAACAAAAAACAAAAAAATTATATATATATATATATGTGTGTGTGTGTGTGTATATATATATATATATATATATATATATATATATATTTGTAAATAGACACAATAAGTTTATTTTATTTAGTTATTTATTTTTATGTGGTATTGAGGATCGAACCCAGTACCTCACACATTCTAGGCAAGAGTTCTACCACTGAGCCACAACCCTAACCCCGAGTATATTTTTTATACCTCCTCAGAAGTTTGAGTGCTGAGGATGTGGGCCTGTGGATACTCCAAAGGGCCCATAATATACTGCTTTGGCTTCCTGGAGATTATTAGACTTGCAGTTGACAGGTCTGGTTCAAACCAGGGGCATAGCACAACCCCAAGTGTGTGGGACCAGAATGGTCCTAGACCAGCCTGAAAATTCCTCAGAACCTAACAGCTGTTTTCCTTGGTCTTTTGCGTCTCTACTGAGGTTCAGTTTGTCTAAAAGTTGATAATGGGTTTTAGTAATTAGGTGCAAACAATTCTATTCTGTGTAAATTGTTTTAGTATTCATATTTTGAGTAAGCAGTCACTAACTTTAAAACTTTTAAGAAATATTAGGTTATTTAGTAAAAATAATAAGACCTATCTTTATATACTGATATGGAAGATCTGAGATCTTAAAGATATGTTAACTATAAAAAGTAGTTTACAGGGCTGGGTTATAGCTTAGTGATAGAGCTTCAATCCTCATCACCACATATATAAAAATAACTAGATAGATAGAGGCCCTGGGTTCAATCCTCAGCACGATAGATAGATAGATAGATAGATAGACAGACAGAGAGACAGACAGGCAGGCAGGCAAAGATCCATTGACAACTAAAAAATAATTTTTTAAAAAAGTAGTTAACAGAGCACTGTATATAATATGCCATCATTTGAAAAGTGTGTGTGTGTGTGTGTGTGTGTGTGTGTATAAACATAGTTACAACCAATCAACAACAGTCATTTTTAAACTAGGACCTGGAAAGTATTTTCTCAGGAGTACTGCTATAATTATATGGTGGTGAAATTTCTTCTTTCATCCTATTTTGTTAATGTGGTAACCCATTTAACCTTATTTCTCATTATAATCTCTTTCCTTTACTGATACAATAATGGTAAGAGTAAGAAGGAAGGCTTTAGCAGCAAGAGAGGGAGGAGATGGAATATTAATATTCCCTGTGCTCAGCAGCAACAGGGTAGAAAAAGAAAAGTTCCGTCAAGAGAAAAAAAGGTCTTGGTGGGGAAGACCACTTTTTTTATAAGAGCTGTTTGTATACTATGTAGTGTTTGATTCTGTTTTACCAACTGTTAAAAATAGAAACATACTCAACTATTTACTTATGTATTTGACATTCTCTTGGGTGACTAGTATTTGTATGAAATTTGGTTTGAGGTATTCAGCATATCAGATATTGTTTCTTCCTTTTGATATTATTTATTGCTGTGTTTCAGTTTATTTGCAGATCCCGATTAAAGAAGAGAAAATTTATGAGTCACTTAGTGATACAGAAAGGAGGAAAACCTTTTGAATAATTTAATTTAAGAAATAATACTTAATAGGAAAGAAAGAATAAAAAGTATTTTAAGACAATATTCATGTAAAGAATAAAAGTGACCAAAATTCATAGAGTAACATAGAGGAAAAATACAAGGATTTGGAATTTTCTTTCTTTTTTTTTGGTATCCGGGATTGAACTCAGGAACTCAGGGGCACTCGACCACTGAGTCCCATCTCAGCCCTATTTTGTATTTTATTTAGAGGCAGGGTCTCATTGAGTTGCTTAGCACTTCGCTTTTGCTGAGGTTGGCTTTGAGCTTGAAATCCTCCTGCCTCAGCCTCCAAGCCACTGGGATTACAGGCTTGTATCACCATGCCCAACTGGATTTGGAATTTTCTAAGGAAAAATTTATGTGACAGTTTTGTCATTATTGCTGCTAAAATTAAAGTAACAAATAAGTCTTCTATAATAGTAGATAATTTTCTAAGCACAAAGTTTTTTTTCCATTTAATTTGAAGAAACTTTGCTTTCAACTAGAGTGTTTTTCCTAGAAAGTGCTTCATTGAGATAGGAGCTTTTGGGACATACTCCTGGAAACAGACTCCAACAGCAGAATTCTGCAGTCTGTCAGTCATTCTGGTAGAAAGGAGAGTGGGATCATAAGAGTAAATAATAAGTAATTTGTGATTTAGGCATTTTCAAATTGATACATAGCCTTTTCCCCCCTCTCATTCTATGCTAAGGTGAGGAAACTGATTTTACCTGTGAAAAATTTGGAAACTTCTGATGATTCTGCTGTGATTTAGAGTGAAAATAAAAATGTCTTTGGATATTTAAGTTTTTAATTTTCAGAAACTTAAAGAACTTCATTTTTTTATTTAAAGGGAATTCACTTTTGACATTTAAGTAAACCAATAAGTAAATAGAGTTCACACCCAGAGCTTAGTTTGTGAATAGGTCGCTTCAATAAAAGAAATCAGGGGCTCCTTTGAAGAATGGCTACAGCCAGGCCAGAAAAAATTCAAGATGAGCCAGGAACATCTTGTCGAGCCAGAAAGTCAAGTGCTTAAAAAAAAAATCTATAGAGAGAGATATATATACACACAGAGATATATATACACACACACACACAGCACATAGATATCTATATCTATATCTATATGTAGGTATATACAAATATACATACATGTACACAAATACATATATATACACATGTGTATATATATGTATTTGTGTACATGTATATATATTTTTGTGTGTATATGTGCTAACATATGTATATATACATGTATTTCTAATGTGTGTGTATATATGTGTATGTGTAGAGAGAGAATGTGTTGTGCCAAAAAAAATGCAGAATCAACCTTCAACAGCTCCCAGTCACCAAAGCTAGAAACTATGATCAACAACATAAATTACAGTAGTAATGAACCATGACCCGAGGAATAAAATAAATATTCATAAGTTCAGTCTCATATAAGTAAATGATTGAAAGAATAAATAAACCAGAAGGAAGAAATCTTTCTTACGGAAGAGTTTCAATTAATGAATATAGAAGGAATGAGGAGAAGAAATAGGTCACCATTAGAATGCCACACTAGTGGTTGCTGCAACCTGGATCTACAAGAATGCTACAATTAGTAGATGAAATGTTAACAAGAAATAGAATATTTTCATAGTATCTCTACCCTGTCCCCAAATATTTGTTACTTATTGTCATTATTTTAACATGTGTCCACAAATTGTTACTCCCACTAGGATGTGGAGCTTGATTCTCTTCCCTTTAGAGTGGGCTGGACTTCCTGACTAACTTCTTACAGACTGAGTTTTATAGAAAAGGAAAAAGAGTAACTTTATAGTGGAGAAAACTGGCAGGCAACCAAATGATGGAGTTGGCATCACCAGTAATAAGACATCTTATGTTGTACCCTGATAATGAAGAAGTAAGAAGAGCACTTTACCTCTGTGATATTCTTCATGAAACAAGGGAATACTGAAATGACAGATTGGGAGAAACTAAGGAGGCATGACAACTAAATGCAGCATGATGTCCTGGATTGGATCCTAGAACAGAAAAATAACATCAGTAGAAAAACTAATGAGATCTCAATAAAGTTGGTAGCTTATTGAGTATTGTGCTAATGTTAATTTCTTTTTTTTTAAGAGAGAGAGAAAATTTTTTTTTAATATTTATTTTTTAGTTTTTGGCAGACACAACATCTTTGTTTGTATGTGGTGCTGAGGAACGAACCCGGCGCCGCACACATGCCAGGCGAGCGCACTACCGCTTGAGCCACATCCCCAGCCCTAATGTTAATTTCTTAGTTTTAATAAATGCATAGTGGTTAGGTAAGACTAACATTAGAAGAAGCTCAAGGTAGAGGGAATAAAAAACTGTTCTATCTTTTCAGTTCTTTTGTAAATCTCAAATTACTTCAAAGCAAAAAAGCCTAATACATTCCCTATATATTAGTCATTACAAAATAAATAATGTACTTTGTAATATTTTTAAAGTCCTCAAAAGGTGGGGTTTAATTTTAAATATTGTACACAATATTATATACATACTTGACCATATTTTTTGTTTGGGTTTTGTTTTTGTTGTTGTTGTTTTTTTTTTTTTGGTACTAGGAATTTACTTAGGGATGCTTCCACTGAGCCACATCCCCAGCCCTTTGGATTTTTTTTATTTTGAAACAGGGTGTTGCTAAATTGCTAAGGATGGCCTTGAATTGTGATTCTCCTGTCTTAGCCACCCAAATTGTTGGGATTATAGGCGTGTGCCACCACGCCCGGGTTTTAATTTTAAAGAATATGTTTAACATTTGTCATGCTGAACAATTAAGTATAGGTCATCATTTTTGTTAGATTTTATTCAAGTTCTATAGGAGCTAAGGATTGCCAGATTTTTAAGGATGACAAATAATAAAGTCACTGTTTTTTTTTTAATTGATGGACTGCTTTGGATAATAAAGGTAAGTGCATTTTCAGCAGCATATGTTAGATGATATCTAGGTATTTTAAATAGAATGAAAAGGAATTTATTGATGCTCTACGCTTTGGTTTAAATTATTTGTTTTCTTTCCCCAGATATAAAGACCTGATGCCACATGATTTGGCTAGAGCAGCACTTTTGTAAGTAAATGCAGTTTCATTTTCGTTCATATTTTAGTAAAGGTACTTTGTCCAGTATTTACTCTTGAAATAGCATGTTCCATAGAATTTCCATATATAGGACATATTAATTTTTATGTTATAAATATTGATTAGCTTCTACAAGATTAATTTACTTTCCATTTTAAGCATTATGTGCTACACATATTTGAGCAGCTCATGAATATCAGCAGTCTATTTTGCATGCTTATTATATATTGTCTTGGTATGATAATATTCTTTAATGAGTACCTGGCTAGCCTCAGTACTACTAGATTAATCAACCTAAACACAATATATATATATTTGATGATTATCTTAAGAACTTAATTACTATATAAAGGTAGCTGAGCAGATTATGTAGATATTATCCTATTTGAAAGAAGTCTAGCAAAAACCTGAAGATTCATTTGTAAACCAAGTAAAAATATAAAATTCTGAGCCAGGCATGGTGGTGCACACCTGTAATCCCATTAGTTCATGAGGCTGAAGCAGGAGAATCACAAGCTCAAGACCAGCCAGGGCAATTTAGTGAGAAATTTTCTCAAAATACAAATAAAGCTGGGGAGTTAGCTCAGTGGTAGAGTCCTCCTGTATTGAATTCCCAGTAACAGGGAGCCAGGAAGAGGGAGGAAATGTGATTAAATGAGATTGAGATGGATTAATAATTTGTGAGAGTCATAAAATGGCTGTTTCCAGAGTGAAAAATAACATGTAAGGTATTAATCTTATTCATTTTCCAATGTCACTTTGCCTTAGTGTCCTCAGGCAGCCATAGTTCATTCTAGAAGTCCTTCACTTGACCTTTCTGCCCATTATAATTCGTTTCTTTTATTCCTGCCAAAATTCAAGAATGAGTGCAAGTAGCAGTTGCTTCTCTTTCCTTGCTATCATTTATTCTCCATATTTTCATGATAATTATTTTCAGTCTCATTTCTCTAAAGTAACTATACTTTGGAAGCTTCTCTTAATAGTGACTGTGATTGCTAGATGAAATGGACCATTCTTTTTTGAGGCATCTATCTCTGTATTTGACACTGTAAACTATACTTGAAACTGGTCCTTTGACTTCTTTCTGCCTTCATGATTTTTTTTTACCATTTCCTGGTTCTTCTATATGCCTGGCCCCTCCCCTGCCTTTTTTTTTTTTTGAGATGGATTCTTGCCATGTTGCCCAGGCTGACCTCAAACTCCTGGACTCAAGCCATCCTCTTATCTCATCCTCCTGGGTGACTTAAGACTAGAGGCCTGTGCCAACATGCCTACCTGCTTCTCTACTTTTAAAAAACTGTATATATGTATATGTATATGTATGGTACTGGGGATTGAACCCAGGGGCACTCCACTAGTGAGCTACAACCCCAGCCCTTTATAGTGTTTATTTTGAGATAAAGTGTCACTAAGTTTCTTAGAACTTCTCTAAGTTTCTGAGACTGACCTTAAACTTGGGATCCTCCTGCCTCAGCCTCCCAAGTCACTGAGATTACAGATTCTTTTTCTATTTTTTAAAAGTATTTTGCAAGTCTGGGTGCTTAATAGTTTATATTTCTCTGTATGCCCCTTTTCCATTAAAAATATCATTTGCTTAATCCTTATTTTTTAAATGTAGACTACTCCCAAATCTCTACATTTGACCTCTTTTCATAGATACCTCAAACTCAGCACATCAAAAATAAAGAAATATCTAGCAGCTGGGATTATAGGCATGTACCAGTGTGCCTGGCTTGTTCTTTAGTCTCTTTTAATCTAGAACATTTTCTTTCTCCCCCTGCTCACCATGACTGACTTTTTGAAAAATCTGGGCCAGCTGTCCTATAGAATATCCCATTCTAGGTGTCCAGTTTTGTTTGTTTTGTACTGGAGATTGAATCCAGGGGTTACCGAGCCAAATTCCCAGCCCTTTTTTCATGCTTTATTTTGAGAAAAGGACTTGCTAAATTGCTTAGGGCCTTGCTAAATTGCTGGGCCTGGCCTTGTACTTGAAATCCTTCTGCCTTAGCCTCCTAAGTTGTGCTGGGATTATAGGTGTGCGCGGCTGTACCTGGCCCATTCTGGGTGTTCTTCATGAAGATATTTAACTTTCCTCTCCTGAATTTTCTGTAAACTGGAAATAATCCCACATTTTTTTAATCTCTGGGAGCTACTTCAAGTTGGTTCTTATGACCCTTTTGTTTTTTAGTATAACTACATATGATAAAAGGCACAGATTTTAAGTGTGTTCTTTAATGAGTTTTGACAAATGTATATACCCATGTTCTTATTTTGATACGGTCTCATTCAACTTGGAGTACTTTCTTAACACCCACCCCCTCCACCCGCCAGTACTGGGGACTGAACTTGGGTGCTTTACTACTGAGCTATATCCCCTATCTTTTTTATTTTTATTGTGAGACTGGGTCTCATTAAGTGCTGAAGCTGGTTTGAACTTTAGAGACAGGGTCTCACTGAGTTGCTTAGCGCCTCACTGTTGCTGAGGCTGACTTTTTTTTTTTTTTTTTTTTTAAGCTTTAGGTGGACACAATATCTTTATTTTACATTTATGTGATGCCGAGGATTGAACCCAGTGCCTTGTGCATGCTGGGTGAGCACTCTACCACTGAGCCAAAACCCCAGCCACCCACCCCTCCCCACCCCGGCTGACTTTTGAATTCTCTATCCTCCTGTCTCAGCCTTCTGAGCTGCTGGGATTACAGGTGTGTGCCACCACCCCCCGGTTTATTTGTCTCTTTTAATTTTTTTTTTAATTAAACTGGAAACTTTGATTTCTACTAAAGATGACATTATTATGTTTATTTATCTATTTTATCCATCATCAAGTGTTGACTTTTTAAATCATTCTTTCATTCATTTCTTTGATAAGGTGTCAAATGTTTGTTAAATTAAAGATACAATGTCTGTCCTTTTAAGTTCAAAACTTACCTTTTAATTTAATTTACATTTTATTTCTTTATCTTTATGGTGCTGGGGTACAAACCCAGGGCATCCCACCTGCTAGGCAAGTGCTCTACCTATGAACTACATCCCCAGCCCAAGAGTTAGCTTTTTCAGAATTTACATATATATATATATTTTTTTTTTGCCTGATATTTTATTCAGTATATTTAGCTGTGTTTTTTCATGGTTAATTGTCCCAATAACCTAGCCCCCCAAAACTAGACCCAAAATTTGTTAAGTAGCTTATTTAATCAAATTTGTTCTCAAGTTATTAAAGCCAACAGGCTCTCATTATAAGTCTTACCTTTTTAAGGAAGTTCATTGTTTTGTTTTGTTCTGTTCTGTAATATTGTGGATTAAGTCCAGGGGCACTCTACTACTGATCTACAGCCCCAGCCATTTTTATTTTTTATCCTGAGATAGGGTCTCCCTAGGTTGCTGAGGCTGGTCAAGGCAGTTCTCCTCTTGGCTTTCTGTATGACTGGGATTACAGGTGAACACCACCACTCTTGGCTTAGTCAGTGTTTCAAGTGATGATTCTGACATTACCTTAATGCATAAAGTGTTTATTTACTTTGGATTTCTTCTTTCAGGGGTTTATTGCAACGGACCAATGTCCCAAAAGAAGTTGTTGATTATATCATCTTTGGCACAGTTATTCAGGAGGTGAAAACAAGCAATGTGGCTAGAGAGGTGAGTAAAACAAACTTTATATTGTTTAAAGCGATCGATAGGGGCTGGGATAAGGCTCAGTGTAAAAGCAAATGCTTAGCATGGGTGAGGCCCTCAGTTCAATGCCCAGTCCTATAAAAAATGGCATATTCAATTTGAATTAAAAGTTCATAGAATTTACTTTTTGAAAGTCTTTGAAATATACTAAGTAAACTTACATTTGTCTTCAAATGTGATTTTACAGCTTAAATAATAAATTTTATTTAATATTTAAGATAATTATACTATAGGGCTAGGACTGGGGCTCAGTAGTAGAGCGCTTGCCTTGCCACATGTGAGGCCCTGGGTTTGATCCTCAGCACCACATAAAAATAAATAAATAAAAATAAAGATATTGTGTCCATCTACAACCAAAAAATATTACAAAAGATAATTATACTATAACTCAAAAGATGTGCACTGTTAGTATATTCATTCTTTATTATAAATAAATTATTTGAGTGGATTCAAGAAATGTTAAATTGTCTCTCATCTTGTGTTAGGAAAATAGAGATTTTGACAATGTGAGGCTGGTGTTACGTTTTATAATGTTAGATATCATGGTTATAAATAATTTAAAAGTTCAACATTTTACAAAGAATTAATTTAATAACTTAGTTTTTGTAATTAGCAGAAGAAAGTTCCAATTGAGGAACTCTTCTCCCTTGCTCCCCAAAACTTGTTCCAATTAAGTTAGTGAGACACAGGCATTGAGTTAGTGAGACATAGGTGGTGTTTTTTTTTTTATGACTGTTTCACAGAGGTTTACTTTTACCCTAGTTGGCGTAGCTCCATGTACAGTTCATTGGGCAATGAGATAATGTTAGACCTTGGAATGTCTGTGATGTGTCCCACAGGCATTTCACAGTGAACACCAAACCACATCTTCTGGGCTTCGTTTTAATTTGAAAATGATTATTTGGTTAATGTTGGCCTCATTGCACATTTCAGTGCTCATTTCTGGTCTGTGCTTGTGTTTGTGAATAGTGAAGTTGTAAGGTAATAAGTTTCATTGCTGTCCGACAAGAGAAAAGGGCAGCTGAGCAGGACTCAAAGTGTTTGTTCTGCTTTACCCTTCAGTAAACATTAAAACTGCTGAAGGCCTGTCACCACCACTCAAGCCCTTAGAAATCAACTAAATGTTGTTGAGGAACAGAAAGAAGTTTATGTTTCTCTATTTTAAATTGTTTGGTTTTCTCTATACCTTAATGTTTCTGAATGTATCAAATGAGACGGTTTCATGAGTATATAAAGCCATTAAACTGTTCATAATACATTTTCAACTCTTATATTCTGAAAATAAAGTGACTTTTTATAAGAGTACTTAAAAATAAATGTTAAATTTGTTTCAGTTTTCTATGTATTTATGTTGTTTCCTAAAACTAAGTCCATGATTTTTCTTTGAATTTTTTTCCTGCAAGTTTTAAACTCATATGCAAATCTCAGATATTGATTGACATGAGGTAGTTTCCCCTCTTGCCCTTAATACTGGTCATGTTGTTCTCCAGGTAATTTTTGTAGTGGCTGCAGGGAGAGGTTGATGGAATATTTATGAGTATGTAACTTTAAAGTTGAAATTATAACCCATAAAAATATAATTTCTAGCTAAAGAATTTTTTTAGAACCTGTGTCTATATTAATAGTTAATTTGAGGGCTGGGGATGTGGCTCAAGCGGTAGCGTGCTCGCCTGGCATGCGTGCGGCCCGGGTTCGATCCTCAGCACCACATACAAACAAAGATGTGTGTCCGCCGAAAACTAAAAAATAAACATTAAAATTAAAAAAAAAAAAAATAGTTAATTTGAAATCCTAAAAGGCTTCTCATGAACCTGAGTTTGCTGAAAGATCTCCTCATATTTTCCTGCTTCCAATTAAACTAAGTGGTATCTTCCGTCTTTCTCCTTATCACCTTGAAAACTATTCAAACTTTAAATAGAAGCATGTGGACAAGGGTCACCAGCTACCACTTCTATTTAAAGCTCCTTCAGTCTGAGTCAGCTGAGGCCAAGGGCAACACATGCTGGAAGGCCCTTATGAGAATCAGGCCATTAGAACCTGAATGCCCCTTACACTTGCCCCACTGAGGAACTCTTCTCCCTTGCTCCCCGAACACTTGTTTCTGTCTTCCTTTTGGATTGGTTTATGCTGAGAGGTTGATATGCAGTTGCCAGGCAGTCGTTTTTAACAAAGTTGATGGGACACTAAGTGACAGGCCTACCTGGAAAGACTGGAATAAGGCCATGTTACATGTATGCCAGCGTACACATTTCTGTTTCTATAGATGATGGTAAAGTGTATAGAAATAGTGTAATTATAAAGGTAAACATCAGTTAAGATACATAGAGGGGCTGGGGATGTGGCTCAAGCGGTAGCACACTCGCCTGGCATGCATGCGGCCCGGGTTCGATCCTCAGCACCACATACAAACAAGGATGTTGTGTCCGCAGAAAACTAAAAAATAAATATAGAAAAAAAAAGATACATAGAATCTCTTTAACCAAACTTTGGAAACATTTATTTTACCAAAGTATAGGAGAGTTTGTATTCTTAGAATAATTAGTTTTAGTTGGGCTTTTTTTTTTTTAGTTTTTAGTTTTAAGTGGACACAATATCTTTATTTTACATTTATGTGGTGCTGAGGATCGGACCCAGTGCCTTGTGCATGCTAGGTGAGCGTGCTACCACTGAGCCACAACCCCAGCCCCTCAGTTGGGCTTTTTAAAAATTTATTTATTTTTAAAATTTTTTGTGATGTGGAGATCAAACCCAGGAATACACATTTGCCAGGCAAACACTCTACTTCTGATTACATCTCCAGTCCTTACTAGTTTCGGAAAAGGACCTCTAAAAAATGAATTCTTTGTTTATCTCAAGAATTTACTGTTGGTCCTGCAAAGTATAGTCAATTTTGTTTGTTTTGTTTTGTTGCACTTTTGGGGATTGAACACATGCTACCTTTATCACTGAGCTGCACTTTCAGTCTCCAAAAGTGAATTCCTTGAAATGAGATTCAGAATTTCATAGTAAAGAGTTGGGGGAATTGGAAGCTTTCATTTTTTTTTGTTTTATTTTGCAGTACTGAGGCTTCACATGCTGAGCAGGTCCTCTACCACTGATCTACCCCTAGAACTTAATTTTTAAAGTGAAGCTTTACTATTAGAAAAATTACAATAATTAATTCACTGAGCAAAAATGGAATTAGACATTGTTTTTTTTTTTGTTAGCAGCATAATTTCTCCAATAAATAATATAATAAAATTATAAATATCTTCCTTTCATGTTTGACTTTTTGTGCCACCAAAATAGAGGCCATTATGCCCAATTAATGGAGGATGTCAGTTTTCCTCAAAGCCCCTCAAACCACAAATCACTCTCTTGCATCATTGTCCTGGCCAACCTCTCTTCCAGTTGTAAACTGTTGTGACCATTATTTGTCAGGGACTCACTTGTAATTGAGGCAGTTTTCTAAGGTTTCTTTCATGGAATTGAACTTCTTTATATTTGGCAAGTTCTGCTTTGCCTTAGGTCAGCAGTGTCCTGCTTGAGAGAGACTAAGTGGCAGTTAGAAGAGAGATGAGTATTAAAGTAGGCCTGAGTGGGAATTCTGTTATGAATGGTCAGTTCCTTAAGAAACATTTTCATGGGCTGGTGTTGTGGCTCAGCAGCGAGGCACTGTGTTCAATCCTTAGCGCCACATAAAAAAATTAAATTAATAAATAAAATAAAGGTATTAAAAAAAAGAAACATTTTCAAGTTTGTTGACTTTTGCTTTGCTTCTAAACTTTATAACTGCTGGGACACAGATCATAAGAGGTCCATAGTTGAAATCAAATTGAATCCTTGATGATTTTGAGCAAAGCATTGCTAAATATTAGGTGGGACATAAGAGTGTTATAGCCACTAGAAACTGGCTACCAGGAATTTGCAGTTCTTGCCAATTAATAACAAGATGAAAAATTGGTAAATGATTTCTGTGATGGGCTTAATTTTATTCTAAACATTGCTCTTTAGAATATTAAAAATGGAATCCTTTCCTAACTCACGGTGCAGACTAGTAGTGCTCATAATGTCATTTACATGATTTATTTCCTTTGTAAATGATCACTTCATTCACTGTTTCCTGAAGGCTGCCCTTGGAGCTGGCTTTTCTGACAAGACTCCTGCTCACACTGTCACCATGGCTTGCATCTCTTCAAACCAAGCCATGACCACAGGTATGTTAATTTTTTCTTTTGTCTGTTATAGAATTTTAAAAAAATAGTAATTTCAAAAGAAATAAATGATTAGCACATATCTCTTCATTTTAAAAATAAGATCACATTAAAAATTTGGGGGTTTTGACAGTAGTTGTCAATCTTTTTCTTGTTCTCTACATCTGAGGCAAATAGCTGTTGATGTTGCTCTTCCACCACTAAAGTGGCTGGTTGTAGCAGGGATTGTCCACTTGAGGAGCATGTCTTTAGGAGAGTGCTTCAGAACCAGAGGCATGAAGAACTTATAACCTCCTAGGTTTTAAACTTAGGTGATTCTGATGTGACCCTTCCCACCACCACCATGATAATTGCATAATTGTAAATCCTTGCTTTGGCACGACCCTATCCTTCACTTTTTCCCATCATCATTGGCATTTCATAAATCATTGTGACTTCTAACAAACTTTTAACAATTTATGGGACATTTTGTGGAAGGACCCTTAATATGAAAAGGCAGGAAACCTGAAAAGCTTAGTACTCATGTGCTGTTTTAGTAACATCAAGGCCAGGTTGGGCAGCCCAGCTCATAGGTCACAGGGAATGATGCCAGAGGCAGTGATTGGGGGTATTCTCCACTCTAGCAGCAGGTTGACCAACACCTGGTTAGAATGACTTGCCAGTGGTTGTAAAGAGGAAGATGGTCTGCCTTATATCTCAAAGCCAAAATTTCTGTGGCTTATAATAAAAATTAACATTTTCTACAGGGGGAAGATTTTTTTATTCCCCCCAAACTAAAGCTGAGAGCATGTAAAATATACAAGATAAAGCACGATTTGGTGGCACAGGCCTGTGGTCCTAGTACCTTACTTGGGAGGCAGAAGCAAAAGAATGGTGAGCTTGAAGCCAGCCTTGGCAACTAATGAGATCCTGTTTCCAAAAAATGGGGTGGTGGACTGCAAGATCCTCTGGTTTAGAATATGGTTTGCAACAGAGTTGATCCAGTGGTTATATCCAGAAGTTGATGTCCATATGGTTTGAATGAAATGTACTTTTTTGTAGTTGTTGAATGTGTTTTTAGTTGTTTAAGAAATTAATTTTAATTCCTCTGAAAAGATGAAAATTTTAATTACAGATGTTCAAAGTGGATAACTGTTACATGGTTTTTTAATTATCTAAGATGCTTAAATTTCATTGGTGTGTTATGTTTCTGCAAAAGATGTTCATTTATATATAACCTGTGCCCTTTAGCTGTTGGCCTGATTGCTTCCGGACAGTCTGATGTGGTCGTGGCTGGTGGTGTTGAGTTAATGTCCGACGTCCCTATTCGTCATTCAAGGAAAATGAGGAAAATGATGCTTGATCTTAATAAGGCCAAGACACTGGGCCAGCGACTGTCTTTGCTCTCTAAATTCAGATTGAATTTCCTATCACCTGAGGTAAGACTTGTGAACCTTATATAAATAGAGACTTGAGTTTCCAGAGCATCCTGCCGTAGAGATTTAGAATTAGATAAGACACGTGAGCTCAGGCGTGTTCTAAGATGCTCTTCATTACAGAAAGGTAATTATTTGGTCAAGATGGAAAAAAATATATATTGGTTAGAAAATTTGAATTTGTAACCCTCTTTGTAATGCCTTGCTCACAAAGAGCTTCCCTTGTCTTGGTCTTGATAGATGATCAACAAATAGATTTTCACTTTTCCAAATAACATTAAATAATCCTAGGTGTCATGTGACACTTCTAAATAATGTACCTCCCTTCCTAGCTGCCTGCAGTGGCTGAATTCTCGACCAGTGAGACCATGGGCCATTCTGCAGACCGACTGGCTGCCGCCTTTGCTGTTTCTCGACTGGAACAAGATGAATATGCCCTGCGCTCTCACAGTCTTGCCAAGAAGGCACAGGATGAAGGACTCTTGTCTGATGTTGTTCCCTTCAAAGTACCAGGTAAAATCAAATACTTCATGATACTTACTAGCAAGTTCTATATTGCTCCAGTTGCTCCGAATACTCAAAGACTCTTAAATGAGGGGCTGGGGATGTGGCTCAAGCGGTAGCGCGCTCGCCTGGCGTGCGTGCGGCCCGGGTTCGATCCTCAGCACCACATACAAACAAAGATGTTGTGTCCGCTGAAAACTAAAAAATAAATATTAAAATTCTCTCTCTCTCTCTCTCTCTAAAAAAAAAAAAAAAAAAGACTCTTAAATGACTTTTCAGTAGGTTTATTGATTCTGTTTCCAAAATACTCTTTAAACACTGACTCAAGTTTTGATTTGTATCATAACACAAGTAAATTTTTTTTTACATTTTTATAAGATTTTCCTTTTATATTTTCCTGATATCTTTTAGTTCTTAAGTATATTCTTATTTTTAAAATTCTTGATTCATGTCTCTTCTATATAAAATAGCCAAATGTGAATGAGCATCTTAAAAAAACAGGGTTTTTAAAAATTGAATTAGTTCATTTATATGACTTTCCAAATGTCTTTAACAGTTTATTTAAAAATTTGATCATATTTTGATAACTATAAAAGGTTTTCTTTTGGGTTTGGGATTTAATTCAGTGGTAGAGTGCTTGTCCATAGCATGCATTAATCCTGGATTGAGCCCTAGGACCTAGAAAAAGAAAGCTTTTTGTCTTTGGAATAGGTACAATTTACATTTCATTCATTTTTGTAATTTTTAAAGCACATTTCTCTAAAGATCTATAATGTTTGTAGTTCCTTAAAGTTACAAAGTTCCTGTTTTTATAGGAAAAGATACAGTTACCAAAGACAATGGCATCCGCCCTTCCTCACTGGAGCAGTTGGCCAAACTGAAACCTGCATTCATCAAGCCCTATGGCACAGTGACAGCTGCAAATTCTTCTTTCCTGGTAATTGTCAATGCTGTTTGTATTTAGTAATAACATTTATTTCTGTACTCTGAAGTAAATTTATTTTTGTATATTATGAATAGAGGCTTAAAATTCAGTTATCTATTGTAAAGATAATGTTAAAATAGAATGCCTTAGAAAAGTAAAATAATAGCATTTAGACTTTAAAAGTCATTTAATCCAATCACCATTCTGATTCAAAAGCTGTTCTCTTCATGTACTTAGCTGGCTAAAAATATTATTGCCTCTGCTGTGCCCTAGAGAGGAAAAGAACAGACAGGTGTGATACAGTGAGAACGTGCTGCAATAGCTGTAAGGATAGGCTATTGGAGAAAATAAATAGATAGGGCTCAGGGAACTGGGGGTGTGGGGTAGTCAGGGAGGCTCCTCAGAGATATCACTGGAATGGAGAATTTTGAAGAAAGAGTAAAATTCAATTCAGGAAGTATAAAAAAGTTATTCCAGGCTGAGTGGTGGCACACACCTGTAATCCCAGCAATTTGGGAGGCCGAGGCAGGAGGATTGCAAGTTTGAGACCAGCCTTCCTAAGTTGCCTCAGCAACTTAGCAAGACCCTGTCTCAAAATTAAAAAAAAAAAATATGGGGCTGGGGTTGTGGCTCAGTGATAAAGCATTCGCCTAGCACGTACAAGGCCCTGGGTTCGATCCTTTGCATCACATAAAAATAAATAATTATATTGTTTCCAACTACAACTAAAAAATAAATATTTAAAATAAAATAAAGGGCTGGGGATGTGGCTCTGCTGGGGTGGTTAAGCACCCCTTGGGTTCAATTCCTGGTACCAAAAAAAAAAAAAAGTCATTCCAGGCAAAGGGAACAGCAAATGAAAAATCAAGGAGCTATGACACCAAGGACCTCTTTGGAAAAAGCTTATTTGGAGCATAGAATATGAACTGGAATATGAGGAAAAATACAAAGAATAATGGGATACCTCTGATACTTCCTTTAGCTTTGATAATTAGAAAATAATGTTCTAGGTCTGGGGTTGTGGCTCAGTGGCAGAGCACTTGCCTAGCATGTGTGAGGTACTGGGTTCGATTCTCAGCACCATTTATAAATAGATAAAATACAGGTCCATAGACAACTTAAAAAAAAAAAACTATGAAAAAAAAATGCCACCTGGTCATAGTGTCTGGAAATAGGCAGATGTTTGTCATACTTGCCCATGGTGACTACTTAATGCCTGCTATTGATGGACTGCAGGCAGGGTACCTGGAATAGTTTCAACAATATACATCTCCACTGTTAAGCCTAAATGGTAAAGGACTGGTGAAATGATTGTTTCCAAAACTAAATCAGATTATCATATAACCATGTGGCATGGATTATATTCACGGGATCTGAATGCCCTTGATTTCTTCTGTGGTATATCAAAGGTCCAGGTTTATTCAGTGAAAATCTGAGACATTCATCGGATGCAACACATCATGGTTTCATGATTAGTGCACTACATTCATTGCAGTGTTGCACAGTGGCACACTGAACATATTATTAAGGTGATGTCCATAAGCCATTTATTATGTATAGTGGAAACCTGTGTTTACAGACTTTGTGGCCACCCTTTTGGTGGCTGCATACTCTCTTCAGGGTTACTGAGTTATAAAAAATATGATAGAATGTGAGAATTTCTTTTTTTAAGTAATGGTAAAATACTCCCCACACACCATCCAGTCGTACCTCTTTGTTCCCCCTCCCTCAATGGTAATTTGGAATAAAAAAGTATAGAACAGCTGGGTGCAGTGGTGAATCCCTGTAATCCCAGCGGCTCAGGAGGCGAGACAGGAGAATCTTGAGTTTAAAGCCAACCTCAGGAACAGCGAGATGCTAAGCAACTCAGTGAGACCCTTGTCTCTAAATAAAATACAAAATAGGGCTAATATGTGGCTCAGTGGTGAGTGTCCCTGGGTTCAACCCCCAGTACCAGAAAAATGTATGGGACAAGTTGGGCGCAGTGACACTCCTATAATCCCAATGGCTCAGGAGGCTGAGTCAGGAGGATCTCAAGTTCAAAGCCAGCCTCAGCAATTTAATAAGGTCCTAAGCAACTCAGTAAGAACCTGTCTATAATTAAATATAAAAAATGGCTAGAGATGTGGCTCAGTGTTTAAGCCCCTCTGAGTTCAATCCCTGGTACCAAACAAACAAACAAACAAAAAAGTATAGGACATTTCCAAAGAGAGAAAGCCATAGTTCTAATGTTCTCATCTGCACCTGATTCTTCTCCCATTGGTTTGCTTGTTATAGAGCATGTAAGTAGAATAAAATCATATAGAAGCCATAGGCAGAAAGCAGATGAGAAATAACACAGAAAATGTAAAAAATGAAAAAGTTAAATAAGAGATTTTAAATCCTAAAATTCATAACATTCTTCATTTTCTGTGCCAAAGCAGAAAACTTTGGCTTAAATTTATTATGGATAAATATTTCTAATTTTACCTCTTTTCTTTATCCATTTTGAAAATTATGATACTTTTTGAATAGCCTCTTCTGCTTTTGTCTTCAAAATATGGGTCAGTTCGTGTGTTTGAATTATAATGTAGTGATTGATACAATGAAGTTTGTTGTATATACTAAGTTTAATGAGTTAGTATACTCAGAAACAGGACCTAGAAAAATAGCTGCAGAAAGACCTCCAGACAGACTAGAGAATTAATTGACATTATTGTTCTGATTAACATTTCAGACTGATGGCGCTTCCGCAATGCTGATTATGGCAGAGGACAAAGCTCTGGCCTTGGGTTATAAACCAAAGGCATATTTAAGGTAAAGTATATATTCAAGTAAATCACCTTTGATTTCTTTATTTCACAAAATAAAATAACAAATGAAATTAATTTAATAATAAAATAAAATAAAGGAAGCTAACCCTTCTGTTTTTTTTACCTAGGGATTTTGTGTATGTGTCCCAGGATCCAAAAGATCAGCTTTTACTGGGGTAGGTAGTAGTGTATATTCCTAGACTATAATCAAAAGTATTTGATCATACCATTTATTACACAGGTTTTAAAGTATGGTAAGTCCTAAATTCATAATTGGATCATGTGATGGGCTTTTTTTTTAATAATCCTTTTAAAAATTATTCCCATGTTTCCTATATTTTTTACTTAAAATGATTATACATGTATAACATATATATATCACTTTCTATTTTTTATAAGATATCATAAGCATTTTTTTTTATTTTGCTATATGCACTGCTACACAGTCTTCTTAATAGCCTTTCATAAAAACCTTCTGATATGTTTATTGTCTTCCCCTCCCTCACAAGCTGCTAGCCTCAGTGGCTTCCATTATGACCTGGAGATTAACCAGGTCCTTTCCCATTTCTTTCCCTTTAAATTCTGTTCTTCTAGTGTGTACATTATCAGCTTGAACTTATCCTTCATTGTTTACTTGTTTATTATGTTTCCCCAGCTCTGCAGTATAAACTTAACAAGAACAGAGCATGTCTATTCAGTTCATTATTGTATTCCCAATACTTAATCAGTATTTTATAGTAAAATTAACAAATTAGTGTAAAACTCAGTTTGGAAAATATGAAGGCATTCTTAATTAAAGTTTTAAGATACTACCTTTTTTTTTTTTTCTTTGCAGACCAACATATGCAACACCCAAAGTTCTAGAAAAGGCAGGATTAACCATGACTGACATTGATGTTTTTGAATTTCATGAAGCTTTCTCAGTAAGTCATTTGAAAGATATATCTGAAAGGACTATAGTCATTAAAAATGTAGTCCATGTTTGTGGGAGAGAGCAAGGCATGGTTTATAATGTGGGTGAAATAAGAGTGGTGAGGCTTTCTATTTTAAATACTAATCTATATTGCAGGAGGGGCTTCAGGGGAATTAATCAAGGGCCACATGTATGGTATTTAAAATATCTTTTGATGCTATCTTGGAGAAGCCCTTAAGAAGTGCTAAACTGTTTCTTTAAGAAATTTTTTTTTTATTATTCTATTTATTTATATGTGGTGCTGAGGATTGAACCCAGGGCCTTACAGGTGCTAGGCAAGTGCTCTACTGCTGAGCCACAGCCCCAGCCCTCTTTAAGAAATTTTTGACTGAAAACCTATTTAAAGATTTGCCTAATTAAATGCTATATATAAATCATATATTTAAGTGATTGCACTATTTTTATTCTCATACAAATACAAATTTTTTATGTCTAAAATTTCAGAATAACCAATATTTTTTAAAAAAGTGTTTATGAGGAAATCTAGTCAGCCAATTTAAATCTTAGGACAATACTTAACTATCTAAAATATGTGTTCTACATTGTATTTTCCCTTGTAGGGTCAGATTTTGGCCAATTTTAAAGCCATGGATTCTGACTGGTTTGCACAAAACTACATGGGTAGGAAAACCAAGGTAAGTTTCTGATTAAAAAAAAAAAATGCTTGAATTTTCAAAGCACATTAATATTTAGAATTTAGTAACCTGCTATTAAAGTATATGAAGGAGAAAGCTTCTTATGAAGAATTTTGTACTTCATTATATGTATTTATTTCTTAGTTTAAAAATAGTTTTTGAAAATTCTTTAGCAATTTAGTAAAATTTTATGTTGCATTTTGTTCTTCCCATTCAGACATTAGATAAAAACAAATTGATCCTCATCTTCTAATACTGGTCTAGACTTTCTTTTGCAGTAAAATTTTTTATATCTAGCATTAGTTATTTCCCTATTAATTCCTGGCTTAATTCATATCTTAAGTAAACTTGCCTTTATTATGTCTTTATTTTTGTGGGTGCCAGGTTGGATTGCTTCCTTTGGAGAAGTTTAATATCTGGGGTGGATCACTGTCCCTGGGACACCCATTTGGAGCCACTGGCTGTCGGTTGGTCATGGCAGCTGCCAACAGATTACGGAAGGATGGAGGCCAATATGGCTTAGTGGCTGCCTGTGCAGCTGGAGGGCAGGTATGTCACAGCAATTTCATAGGGGTTTCCAGAAAGTCATTTTCTTAGAAACAAGATAAGCTCATCCCAAGAATGCTTGGTTAGTTTAGTTTGAAGTGTTTTTTGTTTGTTTAGAGCATTTTATATATATATATAATATATATATAGCAGTGAGTTCATCTTGATAAATTCATACAATCATGGAATTCAATTTCATTTCGTGTCCCTCTCCTTTATTTCTGCCCCCCCCCTCCTTTCTCTATTGATCTTCCTTTCACTCATCTATTTTTTATTTTTGCTTGGTTCTTTCTGCTTACATGTAAAGGTGAAATTCCCTGTGATGTATTTATATATGTATATGACATGATTTTTTAAAATCCATTTAATGTTTTCTTGCCTTTCCCATCCCTCCTCTCTCCCTCCTCTTCTACTCTACTGATCTCCCCTATATCTTTATGGTATTTGATCCTCCCCTCCTAGTTTGATTCTTAAAGCCACATTTCTGATGACAGCCAACCAGAAATAAAACAACCTTCTTGGGTGGGTGATGATGGGGAAAGTGACAACAAAAATTCTGATAACACTTTAGAAGAAAGATGCTGTTTAAATATATGCTGTGTTTTCGCTAAGTTAATGTTTACTTTTTTGTGTGTGGGTGAGTACTCGGGATTGAACTCAGGGTCACTGGACCACAGAGCCACATCCCCAGCCCTATTTTTTTTTTAGTTGTAAATGGACACAATACCTTTATTTTATTTATTTATTTTTATTTGGTGCTGAGGATTGAACCCAGTGCCTCACCAGGTGCTAGGCAAGCACTCTACCACTGAGCTACAAACCCAGCTTCCCTATTTTGTATTTTATTTAGACACAGGGTCTCACTGAGTTGCTTAGGTCCTCACGTTTTTTGCTGAGGCTGGCTTTGAACTTGCAGTCCTCCTGCCTCAGCTTCCTGAGCCACTGGGATTACAGGTGTGCACCAATGTGCCCTGCTAATGTTTTCATTTTTTGTTTATAAAATTAATACATGCTCATTTTGAAAACTATGGAAAATGCAAAAAGTATATAGAAAAAAATTGGAATCACTAATAATTCCCTCCCTAGGCACCATTGATATAGATACCTTGATGTATTTTCTTATTTAACAATAAATTTTTGTTTATTTATCTAATCAGCATGAGTACTTACCTATAAAATGCCTCCAAGGGGTATTTGATCCTCCTCTCCTGGTTTGAAATATTCTTTTTTTTTTTTGGACAATTTTTTGTTGTTGTTGTTTAAGAGGAGAGAGAGAGAGAGAGAGAGAGAATTTTTTTAATATTTATTTTTTTTAGTTTTCGGCAGACACAACATCTTTGTTTGTATGTGGTGCTGAGGATCGAACCCGGGCCGCATGCATGCCAGGCGAGCGTGCTACCGCTTGAGCCACATCCCCAGCCCTGAAATATTCTTAAAGCAATATTTCTGATGACAGCCAACCAGAAACTGTCTTTCTAAACAACTGAATTATACCTTAATTAGGGAATTAATTTACCTCTGGAAAGATATTCAACTAGGAAATTGTTATTCTGACAGATTTTTTTTTTCCCTACCTTGCTCTCATTATATACCCAACTTTTTACCTGCTATAGCATTTAACTCTGGGAATAAAATCCAAAAGGAAAACTGATGGTCATATTTTTTCATTTTGTTTTTGTTTTGTCCTGATGTGAACATATTGTTTTCCTACAGATTACAGAAACTTTCTGTTACTGATCCAGATAAATACATAACATATTTGAAAGTATAAAACATTTTATATTTACCATTTTTTATTTATGATTTTTCCTCAGAAATAAGGAAATAGGTTCAGTTATTGATAAGTTAGAACATTTTAGATTTCATGATCAGAAATTTTTTTAATCTGTACAACTTATTTACAGAAACACTTGGTTAGTTAGGACTAGAGCTCTCCCTTTTATTTATCCCTCTGTGCCAGGCTTCCACAAGGGAGACAAGTTATATGTAGCACTGTGCAAAGTGTGTCATTCACATAGGACACATTCTTTGATTTGTCTGTTTACAGTGCTTTTTTTTTTGCACCAGGGATCAAACCCAGGGGCACTAGCCACTGAGCTACATCCTCACCCTTTTTATTTTTTATTTTGAGACAAGGTCTTGCTAAGTTGCTTAAGTCCTCACTAAATTGCTGAGGCTGGCCTTGAATTTGGGATTCTCTTGCCTCAGCCTCCCAAGGGATTATAGGCTTGAGTCACCACACCTGGCTTCCCCAGTTCTTTATCTAGCAAGTAGAATATAAATAATACTAGATGCTTCTGTATGTGAACAAAAAGTTATCCCTAGAATCTGTCTTTTTTTTTATTATTTTTTATTTTTTTTAAACAGAGAGGGGAGAGAGAGAGAGAGAATTTTTTTTTTTTAATATTTATTTTTTAGTTATTGGCGGACACAACATCTTTGTTTGTATGTGGTGCTGAGGATCGAACCCGGGCTGCACGCATGCCAGGCGAGCGCGCTACCGCTTGAGCCACATCCCCAGCCCTAGAATCTGTCTTTTAGAAGTGTGTAATGTAGTGAGGAGCAAGGAGATGATACAGATGATATGTTAAACTGATACTGTTTCATCAAGAGCCAAACAGTAACACCAGCATCATTAGGAGATTAGAGGAAGAATCCATCATGGTGGATCTAGAGCAGAGCCTCTCAGCTTTGGCACTATGAACATACTGGGCTGGGATAACTCTTTGCAGTGGTAACATTAAACTCCTCTCCACCCTTACCTTGCTCCATACACACAGTTGAAACCAGAAATATCTCCAAATATTGCAGTTGGTTTCTGGAGAAAGTGGATCCTCTCTTAGGTAAGAACTACTGGTCAAGCTGGAGCTTGAAAGCAGTGTATTTTAAATAAAACTGGAGAAGGCAGGTGCAGTTGTGCACACTGTAATCCCAGCAGTTCAGGAGGCTGAGGCAGGAGGATCACAAGTTCAAGGTCAACTTGGGCTGTTTAGGGAGACTCTGTCTCAAAATAAATTTTTTTTAAAAAAGCATTGGGGATGAAGATCAGTGTAAAGTGTTGCTGCGCTCAGTCCTCAGTACTGAAAGAACAACAACAAAAAAGCTGAAGCGTGTTCCACATTACTGAGTCCTTCCAGGACAATTCCCAAGTCAGTCAAACTTTCTTATCCTGCTCTTTTTTATTTGCTTATGTGTTGTCAAAGTACCTGTTTTGATCTACAGTGTGTACTAGATAAGAGTGGAGACTGTAGCAAATGTTTAAACCCACACAGCGTCCAACTTGGTGCCTAGTAAATAATAGTTTCTTGATAAATATGGGGATTGAATTGAACCTAGAAGACAAAAGATTCATTAGGTCATTTACTGGTTTGTTGGCAGTCCAAAGGTTAGAATGACTGTGATTATCAGATGGGATTTAAACTAGAGGCATACTAGTAAATAGCTCTGTGTAGTGCTAGAGAAGGGACATTTCTTCTTCCTTTTGTGGCCCTTCAGACCATCTCTTTAATCTGTGTATACTAGTGGAGGTAAGAACCCAAGCTTTGGAATCATCTAGATCTGGTTTCAAATCCTGACCTTGCTACTTAATAACTTTGTGATTTGTATGAGTCACTTAATCTTTCAAAACCTCAGTTTTCTCATCTAGAAATTAACTGTTTTAAAAATTGTATTTTTATGTGGTGCTGAGAATCAAACCCAGTGCCTCTCACATGCTAGGCAAGCACTCTGCTGCTGAGCCACAACCCTAGCCCCTAGAAATTTACATTTTTAGCACTCACTGTATTGTGTTTATTTCTATACAACTAGAAAAGCCTCTGATTTCTCACCTTAATAGTAAACTTTGGGCTAGGGTGTAGCTCAGTAGTAGGATGCTTGCTTAGCATATACAGGACCCTGGGTTCAATCCCTAGTATCACAAACAAAATATAGCAACCATTTATAGAACATCTATTAGGAACCAGACTGTACTAGATTCTGGTGCACTTACGTATCCAAACACATAAATATATGTGTATGCGTGTATACTATATGCTACCTTGTTTGTATGCTGTACTGGGAATTGAACCCAGGGGCTCTTTACCACTGAGCTATACCCTATATACTTAGTCTTTTTTTTTTTTTTTTTTGAGCTAGACTCTCACTAAGTTGTCCAAAGCTCATTTTAAACTTGTGATCCTCTTGCTTCAGCCTGCTGAATCACTAAAATGACAGGCCTGTACCACCATGCCCAGCTACTGTATGTTAATTTAATATTTACAGAAACTTTCTGAAAATTTCAGGCAGCATAAACCCCATTTTATAGAGGAAACCAAGGTTCATGTGACTACCAACTTTCCCAAGATCTCACAATGGCTAAATGGCAGAGCCAAGATCAAACTTCCAAGCCTGTACTTTTACAACACTGTTATCTGCTGCCTCCATACTGACTGGATTCATGACCTTTCATTGTTCTAATGGAACTTTTTTCCTTTACAGGGCCATGCTATGATAGTGGAAGCTTATCCAAAGTGATGGATCCTGAGGAGGAGACCTGACTTCTGTGCAGCACTTGCACTGGGCAATGCCATTTCAATGCATTACTAAGTGATACCTGTAGTTCCTAGTTCCTCTTAGGAAAACATCTGTGGCCTTCTGTTAAGTACTTTGCTATTAAGCCTTGCCAACGTTCTGACGTTTTTCAATAATCATAGCTTACTGCTCTTTCAGGGATTTCTGAGTTACCCCAATATCACACAAATACATTTAAACAGTTGTTTTTGAATCTCTGTTGTCATTAAGACTAAAGTAGTGGTTGTAGTTTGTGAAAGAGGTTAGCTGAGATTTGGAATCATCTGTGTAACATTTGCAAATTATACTTCTTCCTATCTGTGTCCTAAAGATAAGTATTTTCTCTAAAATACAAACCAATGTGCCTCAATTAACTAATTATGGAAAATAGTTCATTATCTAAATATCGCTGAAAAACTTTGAAAGTAAATGTTGAGATATATAAATACCATGTTGATCAACCTCAATAAAATAGAGAAGTATTGGAGAACTCTTTGCCTTATTTTTATTAAGGAGAGAAAGTGGTTTTCTTGGCTTAGAGGTGGATTTTTCCTTTAATATCTCATTTGTAATTTATAACTTTCAGTAAGCCATAAAGGAATAAGAGTGTTCTGCTTTAAAATAATACCTTCCCCAATTGCTTGATAGGAGTAAATTTATCTCATTGTTTGCGGGTGCTTCTGTTTGCTAGAATTTAAATCAAGTATAAAGAAGTTTTTTATTTTGATCAACTACTATTAGCCCTTTCATATTTTTGACATCCACACTTTACTAAATAACATATAGACTAGTGCTTTGAAAAGAAGCAAAAGGCCTACTAGTGACCATTTAAATGTTGCTTAGGTCTGTGACAGTTACTGGTGGTCATAATCAGCCCGTAGTTCATGCACATTAGGCACAGAACCTATGCTAACCTCTTAAAAAGATATTTGAGTGCTCACTTTGGTAGCACGTATACTAAACTGGAACATTACACAGAAGATTAGCATGGCCTGTTTTGTTTGTTTATTTACTTACTTACTTTGCAGAACTGGGGATCAAACCCAGAGGATCATGTATGTTAGGCAAGTGCTCTACTATTGAGCTATATCCCAATCCTTTTTTTGCTTTTTATTTTTATTTTTTGAAAACAGGGTCTCAGTCTGGCTTTGGACTTATAGTCCTTCTGCTTCAGCTTCCTGAGTAGCTGAAGTAACAGGCATATGCCATAATGGTTGGCTTGAAATATGAACTTTTATTATTCTTCATAGAATGCAATGTGGTGGAGAGACAAGCCACAGTGGGCAAAGAGGTAGATGCTTCTTACAAAGGATCCAGAATATAAAGAATTACTACAGAGCAAGAATAAAGACAATGCAGTAGAAAAATGGACAGAAGATAGTAGCAGAAATTTTTTCTTTTAGAAAATGATAACATGAAAAGTTGAATTATTAGTAATAAACATGAAAAGTTGCTTATTAGTAATAAAGAAAAAATCAAGGTCATAATGAGATATACTTTTATACTCACCAGACTGGCAAAAATGTAACAAGACAGAATTGGTGAAGAGATGGAAAAGTAGGAACTTTTATACACAGTTCATGAAAATATAAATTGGTGCTGAGCATCATGGTGCACACCTATAATCCCAATGAGGCTGAGGCAGGAAGATCTCAAGTTCAAAGACAGCCTCAGCAATTTATCGAGGCCCTAAGTAACTTAATGAGACCCTCTCAAATTTTTAAAAAATTTTAAAAAGGGGCTGGGAATGTGACTCAGTGGTTAAGTATCCCTAGGTTCAATCCCCAATTAAAAAACAAAAAAAGGAAAGAAAGCATAATCTTGGAAAAATATTGAATACCTATATTCACAGCCACATTATTCACAAGAGCCAAAAGGTGGAAGCAATCCAAATGTCTGTGGACAGATAAATGGATAAACAAAATATGACGTATAGCCATAATGGAATACTATATAGGTTAAAACTCATGGTAATCTTGCATGAACCTCAAGTACATTATGAAATAGGCCAGTCACAAAAAGACAATTACTGTATAATTCCACTTATATAAGGTTTCTAAAGTAGATTCATAGAGACAGAAAGTACAATGGTGGTTGCCAGTCACTGAGGGGTGGGGAGTTGCTGTTGCATGGATATAAAATTTTAGTTTTGAAAAATGAAAATAGTCCTAGGGATTGGTTTAAGAACAATGAGAATGTATTTTACTGAACTATAAACTTTAAAATATTTTAAAAATTTCCACAATTTTAAAGTTTTTTTAAAAAGTAAAGGAAGACAATTCAGAATTGAGGTTGCTTGTGGGTTGGGGGGCATTGGAACTGGATTTAATGAGAACACCCAGCCAGCTTTACTGTACTGGTAAATTTCTAGCAAAAGTTGTCTTGTAGGTTCATCCAATTTTATATATTATTTTAAGGCATTCTGCCCAATTAATTTATTAACTTGACTGCTTCTAATGATCATCCTTGGCAGAAGTGGCTTGGTGTGGCTTCAATCTACATAATAATTCTTTTTTTGTTGTTTTTGGGGACCAGGGATTGAACTTGGGGTGTTTAACTACTGAGCCACATCCCTAGCCCTTTTTATTTTTTTATTTGAGACAAGGTCTCTCTGAGTTGCTTAGGGTCTTATTAAGTTGCTGAGAATAGCCTTGAACTTGCAATCCTCTTGCTTCAGCCTCCCAAACTGCTGGGATCACAGGCATGTGCCACCGTGCTGGCTGAAGTTCATTCTTAGACATCTTAAGTTGCTTATGTTAATCATGGGGCAGAGGGTTCTGGGGGTTGAACCCAATGGGACTCTAACCCTATGCTATATCCCTAGGGTCCCCCCATTTTTTTCCTTTACGGTGCTAGGGATCATACATGGGGCCTTGCACATACTGACTAAATGCTCTACCACTGAGCCACATTCCCAGCCCTTTTTATTTATTATTTTGGCATAGGGTCTCACTAAGTTGCTTAGGGCTTTGCCAAGTTCCTAAGACTGTCTTTGATGTGTGATCCTCCTGCCTCAGCCTCCCAAGTCACTAGGATTATAAGTGTGCACCACTACACCTGGCTCTTAATGTTATTCTTTTTTTTTTTGAGAGAGAGAATTTCAAAATATTTATTTATTTATTTATTTTAGTTTTCAGTGGACACAACATCTTTATTTTATTTTTATGTGGTGCTGAGGATTGAACCCAGCACCCTGCGCATGCCAGGTGAGTGCGCTACTGCTTGAGCCACATCCCCAGCCCCATAATGTTATTCTTAAAGATGCCAACTTTCTCTCTCTTCATGTAAAACTTTAATGAGATTATCTGTTTCACCAAGTAGCTATTTGGGAGTGGCACCTCTTATTTCCTGTCTTCTCTCATTCAAACTAGAAAAGCCTCACTTCTGTCTTCCTCGCTGTTTGTTTCTCTATGGTCTCTGATTCAGAGTAACATTCATGCTCTTCCTATGGTCTATGTAGTTCATTCAATGAATATGTATTGAATGCCTACTAGGTGTTAGGCACTTACTCTAGACATGGAGGCTACAGTAACCAGTAAAATAGACAAAAAATTTCTGCCCTTGCATCCATCTTTCCAGAGAAAAGAATCCTAATTCTACTCCGTCTATTGTCTCCTCCTAGCCTTTCTCCTTATTTACTTTTGCAAGGCCTCTCAAATTCTGGTATTTCTTGAAGAATGAAATGCAGTGGCATGAGTCCCAGTCTCCTCCTCAGATTTTAATGGATGGCTCAGAGGTACTCTGCCACTGGCTTATTTGGTCTCTAAACTGGTATACTCTGCTTTCTCAGTGAAGAGGAATTACTGACTGGGAGGATGTTGGAGGCAAGAGTAGTGAGTAGGGCTACTAGTCTTCAAGGAAATATGTTGATGTGAAAGAGAAGGGACATTTAGACATACTGGCAATGTTCATAGCTGCAAAGGACTCTGCTAAGGAACCCTTTTCCTTTCCATAATTAAGGGACTGTCCATGATCAAACAAAATTGATTCCCAAAACAGAACCCCAGAAGGGCATTCAGAACTTCCTCAGGAATCCCTGATGTTGTCTGCCTCCTGTAAAAACCTAAATTCCAGGGAGTATTTTGTTTCTACCTTTATTTGTCAGGTTTATGTGTTTAAATATGTAAAGTTTCAGGAGAACTTTTTTTTTTTTAATTTTTTTTTTCTAGTATATAAATACATGCCAATTGCGTTCTGTAGGATGAGTAAGTCCAGAGATCCAATTTACAGCATGAGAACCCTAGTTAATAATACTGTATTATATACTGGAAATTTGTTACTATTTTAGGTGCTATAACCACACATACAAAAGTAAATACATGAGATGATGGATCTGTTAATTAGCTTAACTTTAGCAGTCATTTCACTATGTGTATATATATTAAAACATGTTCTATACCTTAAGTCTATAAAAGATGTTAACTATAAAAAATTCAAACAATATAGAGAGTAGGAAGAAAATGAAAAATCAAGTAGAGAGGTCCACTGTTAATATTTTGATATCTCCTTTTCAATGCATGCTTATATGGATCGTAATCGCATAGTATAATGCTGCCCTGGAACCCTTTTGTTTACTTAGCTATATAGCCTAAATATTTTTTCCATATCAGCAGATGTAGCTCTACATCATTTCTAGTGACCACATAGCATTTCTGCATATGGGTCTATCCTAATTTATTTTACAAATGCCTCTTATTTGAAGAGGCAAACCCTCTGGAATGCACAGCCTTTGCACAGTTACCTGTTCTCTTGTTCACTAATCTCTTTAAGCCATCTTAGAAATTGAATTGCTGCTAAATGTTTTGTTTTCTTAAATTTGTCTCTAGACCCTTCTTTTATGGTCTTTTTTGTTTTTTGTTTTGTTTTGTTTTGTTATGTTTTTTAGTGTCATTTCATTTACCAGTTCTGAACATAAATTTTTACCAGCAGAGTATGTGCAATCACTTTGGGAAGGAAAAATGAGAACACATCTTTCTAAAGAAGCACACTCAGGAAAGGGGTCTCTGCTGCTTCTAAAGGGAAAAAGTGGCTGGGCACAGTAGTGCATACCTGTAATCCCCGTGACTTGGGAGGCTGAGGCAGGAGGATTGCAAGTTCGAGGCCAACTTCAGCAATTTAGAGAGGTCCTAAGCAATTTAGTGAGACCCTATCTCAAAACAAAAAATAAAAAAGGGGTGGAGATGTAGCTCAGTGGTAAAGCACCCCTGGGTTCAATCCCTAGTACTAAAAAATAAATAAAGGGAACAAATGTATTTGAATTTATAACCAAAAATACTTTTGTAATTTTAAAAATGAGGAGCCAGGCATGGTGGCTTATACTTGTAAGCCTAGCAGCCTGTCTCGGTAGCTCCAGCCTCCCAAAGGGAGCAAGTAAGAGGCTTGCAACATCATAAGGGCCCTAGTAAGTTAGTATCTTCTATTCAAAAGCATGATTATGACTTCCAGCCCCACCCTCTGGGGCAGGGCCTGGCGGACCCTCGAGCGCTCGCA